CTTGTGATTAGCTGAGATCAGTTCCCCTAGAATCAATTTGCCAAGAAGCTTGTGCCGCTCGGCCTCGACCCATTTCGCATGCTCGTTGTTGACCTTATGCACGAGTGCGAATTGGGTACTTGGAAGGCGCTGTTTACGCACCTTGTACGGCTTCTTTATGCTCTTCCTGGGGGTAGCCAGCTGGTGGCTACTCTTGACAGCAGGTTCGTGAATTCATAGAGTGCTGTCACTATTTACTAATGTGTCGTCGACTCTCAATAATACCGTAGATTTCGCCAGGTCCCCACATTTGGTCATGGCGTGATTCGAAAATTTGCGAACAACACATCTGAGATGAAATGATTAGCGGCGCGTGACTTTGAAGATATCTTACAGGTTATTTCGTCTTTCTTTTTTTCTTAGACTAACTGACATGTTCCCCAAGTGTTCTATTCCAGTTTTTGAAGGGTTGTTTCCACCAGAGCACGATGCAATCATGCAGTCTCTGTTGTATCGATTCGCACAGTGGCATGCGCTCGCTAAACTTAGAATTCATACAGAGTCTACGGTTACTTTTTTTGACGAGATATTCAAGAAGCTCTGTCAGAACTTGCGGAAGTTTCAACGCGACACGTGTGCTGCCTTCAATACCATCGAATTACCGAAAGAAAAAGTGGCTTGCCAACGAAGACTCGCTCAGCACTCAGAACCCCGTACCACCCCTCCAGAAGTAAATGGATTGAGGGTAAAGAAGTTCAATCTTGGTACTTACAAGTTCCATGCAATGGGAGATTATGTTAGAACCATCAAGCTCTTCGGAACAACGGATTCTTTCACCACTCAAATAGTATGTGCCTGTTTTATTTACACTATCCACCTGATGTTCAGTTTGGCCAGGGAGAGCTTGCACACCGAGCCCTAAAGGCATTTTACCCGCTAACCAGTAAATTAGACACTCCAGCGCAGTTAGCTAAACACGAGCGGAGGCGCCGTGTACTTCGACGTGTTGCAGAATTTGGAGGCACGTCATTCTCCTCTGATAGCCAATCGCCTACCGAAGCCCCGCCTTTGGTGCTCTCTCGAAACCATCACCACATCGCGAATACTAAAAGCAATCCAGTCAACCTATTCCCCTTCCTTCAAGAACACGATGGCGACCCAGCAGTTAAGGTAGGCATGATATTGTGGTTGGAACTCTTTTCTCACAATAGTCGTCAGAATTTCATTCCAAGGCTGAAGGACTACATCCTTTACAGGCTGCGCAAGCTCGACACCAGTCATTGCGACCACGTCTTCACAGATGAAGAACACAACTCGGTAGTTATCCCTAATAACACTATCTACTCAGTCCAAGCCATGCAGGTGTATTACACTACATACGACCTCAGACGCGAATATGATACGATCAACCCTAGGACCCACACTGACGTCATGGTGCTTTCGGGGGAGACGACACCCAGCCACCCATATTGGTATGCTCGCGTGCTGGGTATCTATCATATGGAAACCTGGCTCAACGACGGAGATCAACCTGTAAAGCACCGTCTTGAAGTCCTCTGGGTCCGATGGCTAGCACCATTACGGAACCATAAATGCAGCATGAAACATACTCGTCTTCCGAAAGTCGCATTTGTTGACGAATCTGACCCTGACTCGTTCGGGTTTCTCGATCCAGACCAGGTGATTCGAGGAGCTCACCTGATTCCTGCTTTTTCCGCGGGACGAGGCATAAGCTCCCTTTCCCTTGGGAAATCATTGGGACGTCCTGATGGGGAACTAGATGATTGGGAATCATATTATGTTGGGATGTGAGTGTGCTAGCATATTACCTTTTATGATACATTAACCCTCGAGTCTTGGGTTAGCTTTGTCGATCGAGATATGTTTATACGCTATACTCACTTTGGCATTGGACACCCAGTAGCATTGTGCAAGATAACCAGAGACTGTCTTGGCTCACTAGTAGCGGCCCCAGCTGACTGTGACTCAGACGCTATGGATATCGTTGACGATGCAGACCTCGAAGAAGCAGAACGTGACGATGAACAGGACTCGGATGAGGATGAGCTTAGCGATGAGGAGCTGGATGGAGATGATGGAGATGGAGATGGAGATGAGGATTTGTTTGATGATCATCTTTCTTTTTAAATTTTCCTCTATCGAGTTAAGCCTTCAATTACTAGGTTTGGCAAGCAGTACGATGTACACGCTTCACAAGCTGTCTTTGTCCGCAGACGTACGGCGTGTAGCTACTACAACATGATTACTAGGCTGGTCACCGTGACCCTCTTTGGTTCAACGAGTTTTTTTCCATCATGTATGCTTCACGTGCCCTCGAAACCTTTTCAACCTCTTCAATGGCCTCGTACTAACACCGGCCATCAGCGGGTTGGATTGTGCTACGGAGTGCTGCAGAGCGCTCTGTAGCACTCTGTAGTGAATTACGTTTGCCTGATGGGCCGTACCCGTACCGTGAGGGCCGACGTTCCGAGTCCCTTCTGTGACCTGATCCATCATGATTTCGTCATTCTCATCTGCATCTCGACTCGGTCAGGACAATTATTTTAATTTCTATCTACATTATCATGGTTTGTCGCTGATGGACCCAGATATAAGGCCTCAGCCCAGGTGTCGGTCTGCGTGTCTACGTAGTACTAGTGCTGACATTCCTATGATGACAATATGCTACAGCCTAGCGAGTTAGGCTTCGAGCAATGCGCCCGTTCCTTGGACCCTAGTAGGCACCCACACCAGTTTGAGTATGGTTGACTCTTTTATCCATGTACGTTTTCAGCTAATTTTCAGTGTCAACTGCCAACGTAACAATAAATTTATTCAATTACGTTGGTAGCACTTAGTATGATCATCATTACTAGTTTGTTCACAAGACCATTTCCAGCGCACGCCTACAATGGAAAACCTGAACGTCAATGTCTTCAGGGAAGTTTTTTTTGGCTAATACTAAAAGTTTGACGATTAACACTAAATATAGTGAGAGCCGCTAGTGAACGCTAGCCATCAGTCTCCTACCCTCTCACTCTTCCCCCTTTCCCCCGCCCCCCTTCTGCTCATGTCCCAGATGGAGGATGATCAGCATCCCGAAGAATTGTCCCAGGTGGATAACACCCCACGACCTCCCGCAGCATCGCCCATAGTGGTAGCACCGACGTCTGCCAGTGAGAATGCTGGTCAGAAACGGAAAATTGCTGACTTAGAAGAGAACCTCACGTCGGGGCATACATTGAAAAGGTATGAGCCTCGCTTTTACATCTAGTCTGGTGGAAAACAATCTCACAAGGACGAGCTATCATCAGACAAATGATTACCTTACTTGATAACATTGAGGACTTAGTAGGCAAGAATGGTTGCGATAAGGATGACGACGACATTCATGTAACTCTCGTCTTCAGGTTAGTGTTTCATCTCTGTCTTATGAGAGCTACTCATGGATTTGTTATTAAAGCCAGGATCGTTTGCGAATCGGATATGTGGCCCTCAAAATGTCTTCAGATAGTGATAGTATGGAGCACGACAATCACTTGCATATGTCAAAAAGGGTGAGCTTTGTCAGTGACAATAATTAGTGTTGTGTTGAATCGTTGTACAGCTTAAACAGAGGGTCTACGATCTTCGAGGAGATGTCAATGGCGATCAGACTATCGCTAACACTCTCATGACACAAGACCAATTGCGAGACTCCCAGAGACGAATCGACACCCTTCACACGGAACTTTTTGATTTGCGAGGCAGGTTGTATGACGCTCAAGTCGAACATGCCCGCGACCTGGCAGAAATACAGCGCGAGATGTTGCAGATGAGGGAATCTAGTGGTCGAAACCATAAGAAGCTGCCTTCCTCACCTCCCAAAAGGAAGTCAATGGTTCACAAATATTACCCAGATGGTGGACAATCGATTAGGTGGCTTACAGACGAGGAGTTCGAACCGTATGATGAACTGTCTACGGAAGAAGGCTCACGTGTTGCAAAGGTTGTTGGTGGGCCGTCGTCATGCGGATTGGCAGCCAGACGACGCATGTCTTTATCTCGCCGTTGGTCTTTGCGTCGTTTTCAAAAAGTCAAGGATGCCCGTGCCAACGCTGATGACTCAGAAGAGTCTGTCAGCACTATGTACCACCGTGCGAATGGCACTCCAGAGATCTGAAGGAGAATTACCCCCATCACATACTTTTCATCACCCTTGAATAATCTTCCTTTCCATTTCTCGCCCTACCCATGAATTCACCACAGAGTGCTACAGAGCGCTCTGTAGCATTCCGTGGCACAATCCAACCCGCTGACATCGAGCTCGGCATCCTTCAAACCCTCGCTCATTATCCTTCTTGTTCCTTCCTTGCTCCCACCCGCCACTCCATCTTAATTAGCTTTTCTAACTGTTAATGCGTCGTATTCCAGTCTTATCACAATTAGTAGAATATATAAAGCTTATCTCAGCGATTTGCAGAGTCAGCACACGACCGAATTCGGCGTAAGTAGGTGGCACCACCTGTTTACGTAGTAACGCTCGGACCTTAGGTTGTGCCTCCGACTCTTCCTGAGCCAGACGAAGCTGGATTTTCTTTCTGCCGTTCAAATCAGTGAGTTACTAAGTCAGCCAGTCAAGGTTGCTACTTGTGATCGACGAGTTTTAATGAGCATCATGCCATCAGGCAAACGTAATTCACTACAGAGTGCTACAGAGCGCTCTGCAGCACTTCGTACTAGCCTGACTCGGAGCCGATGTACTATGGTGTGGTATGTGACAATTTCTTGAGTTTACGTTGACGCTAACATGATATCCTGCATAAGTATTGTCACTCAAAAAGGTAAGTAACGTTATTAATCGTTCCTTGTCTGACACTTTCCATTGTAGGCGTATGATCATATTTAGGGCAGCTGCCTTTGCTGACGCATACTGGGTGGCCGTTAAATAAAGCAGAGGGTACGCAAATTCAACTCTATTCCTACCTCTCTTACCTTCTCTCCACTCCCCACTCCCCAATCTCCTTTCTCTCGCCTCACTCATGTCCCAGGTGGACGATAACCCACAGCCTGAAGCATCGTCCCAGATCGAGCAGCCTGCTGCTGCATCGTCCATAGTGGTGCCAACGTCTGATATTGCTCGACAGAGGCGCAGAATAGCTGATCTGGAGGAGAAGCTGCAAGTGCTCGAGTCGGGGCATGCGGTGAAACAAAGGTATGAACACCATCGTAACATGTAGTTCAGTATACTCATCATTGTCAGGGAAACAAACTACTTCATGTCACAAGGACGGGCCATCAGACGGATGGTTACACTATATGATAGTGTCGAGGACTTGATAAATGAAAATGATAGGTGGTGTGACATAGAGGGCGACGACGACAATGTAACTTTCGAGTCCGCGTTTCACCTCCACCTACTGATCGCTACTGACCGGTTGATACCAGTCAAAATCGGTTGCAAACCGGATATATAGTCCTCAATAATGTACTTCCGTGGTTTCACCGAAAGGCTTCCGACATGGAGTACGAAGATTATACGCACATGTTAAAAAAGGTGTTCTTCGCTTGTGTCAATAATCAACCTTATATTAAATCGTTTTTTAGCTTAGACAGGGTGCGGACGGTGCTCGAGGTGATGACACTTTGAAGCTCAAGCCTCTTGTCCCTGATTGGGTCAATCGCGAGTGGAAACCTGATCCCCCAGTCGACCCTGAAGATAAACACTGCCGTGGATTCACCAATGACGCCTGTGGCAGACTGCTCTGTCCAACAGAGCTAGACTGGAATAACCCAATGTTAGTATTGCACTTGTGATCTCTCTACTAGACACTAATTTTCCGCCAGTGTCAGAGCAGGAATTAGGGACCGCATAGACGGCCATATCGTGACGGAAATGTCATGGCCCGCATTTCTTTATGCAGGATACACAGCCGATCCGAATAATCTCGAGGAGGGTCTCTTCAAAAGCAAGCTTTTAGTTCAGGTTCGTCATACTAAAACAGATCCTCAAAGCTCTCATTTTTGGCAGGCATTCAAAGCCATATTTACATCTCCCTCTTCGGCAAAGGAAGTTGCTGGTGATGGTGATGGCGCCAACATCATCGAAAACAACAGACGCGCGAAGAAGGATGTTTTGGGCAAGAAAGTCAAAACACACGTGGCTCAAATCATTAAAATGCACAAAGTCTCACCTTGCTCGATCGCTTATGTGTCTTGTCAAGTAAGTGGTCAGTTTTCCATGTCCTTACCAAGCACTAACAAATCCTGACACATGTAGTTGCGATTCGCCCTTTCCTCTGTAACGTCATGGCGGTCAGTAGACGGCGACTTTGATTACATACAATTCTGGTGCAATATTGTGGACTTCTTTGAACGCCCCCCTGGTCGAACAGCGCAGCGCAATGTTGACCGACTTCTGACGTGGTGGACGAGGTAAATTGATTACAAGTCAACAGCTGTTAACTGACCTCTATTTATTAGGAAAGTTTTTGGTACAAGTCGTCGGGAGGAACTCAGTGATGCGGTGTAGAGACTCATGCCTCTCATGGCATGATATGGCAGTATTCACTAGGGAGTACATAGCACGAACTTGTAGCATCACTCTGTGTGCTATCTGCAGCTATCCCTATATGAGGCGCAGCTTTCCCGTGCAACGCGCGCCATGCACGCACCTTTCCCGTGCTTTACGATGTATATGCGCGCGCGCTTTCCCGCGCTTGATTGCCCTATAGCGCCAGCCTTCCGGAAGCATCCATCCACTGTCCACCAAGTTCTCTAGTGCGTGTATTTCCATTTCCCTTATTTACATATCATCCCACCTTTATTTATATCATGGACCCTTACTTACATATAGCTTTACATACCTTACTCGGTAGCGCTTCGGCTCCGCGCGACAGCGCTTAGGCGCCGTATATAAGCGCCAGCATTACATACTATTAGAGACTTTCCAACTTAGACTTGACCTCCCACTTACCCACTTACTACCTAGCTGAACATAGTAGAAATCTATTCCTTGGCACCTCGCACTCTCATCTCTTGTCTTGCATCATATCACCACTCAAGCAAACTCACACTTACTCTCACTTGTTTCCGCTCACACGCGCGCACTTCCCGCGCCTCACGCGTACCTTCGCTTTCCCGCGCCTCGCGTGCACCTGCGCGCTTTCTCACGCTTCGCATCAGCCGACCAGTAGCGCCTTCAGCGCACACTACTAGATCCTTGCTGCACTCGCTTCCCCTTTAGGGTCGAACGCACTTGTCGTCTCAGGTATAGCAGACTAGGCAACGCACGACCTCACAACATCACAGATACAGTCTGGAGCATTGTTTTGTTCCTCTCTGTATTGTTGTTTCTACAGCGGCCAAGGCTCACATGTCCGTAAATGCTCTCGCAATGCAGCGGGCACGATTGGATGATGCACTTTTCGATTCTGAGTAGTTCACGCATCCGAGTCGTTCCAGCCATTTATTATTACATCACAATAGTTGGTTGTCTACCCTTTTAATTAATGTCATGATTTGCACCAAGTTTTAATTGTTTGACGTGGAGTGATAGCAGGCTGACTATTTGTGCTCGTGCCATAAGAAAGCAACAAAAGGGGGCTGCTACAGGTTAAGCTATGCCTGGTGAATCCAGGCAACAGATTGGGTCTTCTGCACCTCATTCACATGTTGTGAACAATCTACAGAGTACAGGTTGAGCTACAGCTGGTGAATTCCCTTACTTGTGCTCTGTAGGCTGCATCGGAGAAAATCTAGCGTGATAGGTGCCAAAACATATGATTTTACAGAGAATGTGAGGCAACAACAATTGTAAATACTATCGAAATGACAGGCCCACCCCCATGACGTAGGGAAAAGCCGGAATCAATTCTCTCCGTCCATCTACATGTTGAGAATTACAAGAAAGCTGAAAGGTGATACCTGATTCGTAAGACATGGACAGGTCAGGATATCCATTCAGTCTATGTACTAGGTCAGCGATTGCTCGAGCGTAGCAAAACGAAGCCGGTAAATACCTAACATTCCCCAACAACAACTTTGTCCTTTCATGGATGAACTAAGCCGACGCGGTCGCGACTGCACGCACACAGAATTCGTCGCATGAGGTGCTATAAATGCAATGGTATCTATGCATGACGAAACATGTAAGATACTGGATGAATGGTAAGTAAGGTACTAAGGTGAAGCACGACTCACTAGCATAAACTCTCAAGCCAAGGTACTACATCCTAAAGGCACAAGTGTTTGAACGACGCCACGACCTCTTTGGGATTTCTCGCAAGTGAATACAGGTGCCGAGGTATGAGATACTCATAGAAGGTCGCACGGAGAGTCGAAGCAAGGTATAATTGGGTGCTTGCTTGCTTGGTGAACATATATCGGCTGCTATACAATGATACAGCTTTTTCACACAGATTCGCAATTGATATATAGCGGACAAACATCAACAACTTACGAAAGGTTGGCAGCAAAACTCACAGTATGATATAATTTTATTCTTGCGCGCTCAGAAAAAGGTTTGTCGTTCTCTGGAGAATATCAGCTTTAAGTCTTGCTCAGAACATTGTCCCAGGATCGAGGGACTTTAAACATCGTGAAACTTACTTCTGACGTGCCAATTGTGTTGCATCTAGCTTGACTGTTAGCTTTTGCTCTACATTCCCTTCACGTTGGAGTTTGAGTGACGTGTGGGTGTTTTCCCGATTATACACCGGTGTATGAGATTTAGACAATGTTCTTTCCTCTACAAGGGCAAACATCACAATGTATTGATCAATGGCAGAATTACGCCGATGTTTGTGATTATGTACTATATATTACTATATATCTTCTTCTCATCTTTCTGCCAGTCTCGTGATGAAAGTTTCAAGCGACCGCAACGATGACTAAGCATCAATCATAATGGAAACGCAGTCCGACAAAACACTCTTCCCTGTTAACGTACGTGGGAGTCGGGGATCTGGCAGAAGCAGATTTGTATAGCTATCATGGCTACAAGATAACTCAGGAAGAAGAGGCATAGGCCTTGTTATCATTATGTAATAACAGCATCACACCTCCTCAGCAATCAGAATACTTATCAGGACGCTGAGCGGCCTCAGCGCTCAGCATCAATGATGAATATGATCCTTGATTTGTCCTTGATCATTGCTTTTCTCGATTGACAGGCAACAGCCAGTCTGTGCACGGACACGCGTGCAGTACATTACAAGGAGGCTAGCCTTAACAGGCTTTCAATTTCAATGATGATCCTGACACGTGCACTTTCAGTATGCAAGTTCAAGTTCCTGCACTGCAATGCGATTACGGTAAATCAACGCTGCACAGGATAGATATAAATACTGTGGCACACAACTGTTCTTCTATCACGAAGTATAATGCGCTGGCCTTCCTGTCTCTGCGTCCCATGGCTTCTCCCAATCCGACAGAAGAAAATTGGAATCCATCCAGCCTTCTTATATATAACGCACTTCCAAGTCACCAGGACAAAGACCCGACAATATCTGATGCGAAGCCCACTGCTGATACTAGAACTGACTTCTACGATCGCAGTCTGACGAGTCGTAGATATGCCCTTGTCGGAATGGCATGTTCAAGTATCTTCAGCTGCTTATGCATCATTGCAGGGATTGTCACTTTAGCCAGTCACGGAATCAAAGGAGTAGCCCCGCTCAACATGTATAATGCATCGATACTGCAGGTGGAAATATTGACCCTGATACTTGACTTAATCGTCACGTTATGTACCGAGTCCACAGGCTTCGTACACGGCATCTCATTGCGCTCTGCACTAGCCTCAGAGTCTCGGCTTCGTTTCAACACCAACTTGCGCCTTCTGAGTGCAGCTCGTGGATGGCATAACCCTAATGGCACCCTGCTTAACGGTATCTCGGCTGTCCTCCTCATTATATCCTACAGCTCGGCCTCAGTCGTCATATGTCTGGACGAACCTAACTCATTGTTCCCAATAATTCCTCAGGGTCCTATTGCCATCGCAGGAATACCTCTCCTCATATTAGGCATCGCACTCCTCCTCCAGGTGATTATCGCATTGTCAGGGATGCAGGCTATCAAAATCCTGATATGGAGCTCCTCACCTTTCGACTTGACCGCCGCACTCATCTACCACACACAATTGACCCCTGCGACTTTCCGGTGCATGCGTCGTGTGTCTGACCTAGACTCGTATGGAGGACCAGCGAAGCCACCAGAGACACAGCCCTCTGCGTGACATGCTCACCCTAGCATCCAGAAAGTTGTCATTTTTCTGTGGGTTATTGTTGCAGCATGCGCTGGATGGGCCGCACTAGTCATGTATATCTGGACCCGATTTTATTCCAGTAAACCCCTCAACAATCCTCTGACCCTACAAGGGTGGTCGCTCTTCCGAAATTTGGATGGCAATTACATCATGTATGGTCTACCGAGTGGCAGTCTTGAGGGGTGGATTGTGCTCTTTGTCAACATTGCGGTTGTCCAGGGACCACTGACGCTTGGGCTGCATTGCTCGGAGCTCATCGCAAATGTCATTCGAGATGAAAGACAGTGGAGATGCGCCACCAGAAGCCAAGGACTTAGAGTGGCGACGAACCCACTGAAGCCCATTTTCACTCATCCACTTTGTCTCTTACTTTTTATCGCGAAGCCTTTCCTGCGTGAGTCATTCACGCCTAGTATTTTGTTGTCAGTGTTATTGAACGCTATCCTCCATGATCACAGACTGGATGTTTGGGCTTTCATTCGACATAGCCACAGACGCCACTGACGACATCCTAGACAGATTTTGGATTACCATGTACACTGCCCAGGTTCGTACTTACTGTATGTAAAATTATTATGACATGCTCACACATTCTGTAAGATCTGGAACTTATGCATTGCGCTCTTTATACTTGCCTGTTTCTCCACTTTCATCTCACTGCGCCGACCGCACGGTCCCCAGCCAGCTGCATATGGCCACCTGCAGACGCTCGCCAACCTCGTGGATGAGTGGTCGCCTGTGATGTGGTGGGGACACAAGGATGATGGAATTCCGTACTGTCATGCTGGTAGGGTACTTGCATACTCACAGTGATATTACATTGACACTTTTAAAAAGGGACAAGCGATCACCCGCTGCCGGATGTGAAGATGGACTGCGTTTATGCTGGTTCCGGTGCTGGGTCTCTGGTACCCCTCTCGTGAGAGGTACTTGATTTGCTTTTTAAAGGAAATGTCTTAATTTCTCATTTCAAGCTATATCCGCATCAGACTAATGATACATTCACGGTGCACGCAACTAGCTGTGTCGTTGAACAAGACATACAATTTTCATGCTATCTACTGCGTTGTTGTCGGTTCTTCTTGTTCTTATACCATTCATACGAGTCTGGGACACCTTTTAGCGGATATGTGTTTGATTTGACCTTCAAGCAATAGTTAAGTTATTGTAATTTTGGTAGACGTGACTGATAACTTGGAATCATGTAACTGATGGACACTCTTTCTTATGGTATATCTGCGCCGGACCTTACTACATCGTCATTCATGATGAAACCGTTCCATACGAATGTTGAATTCCCACTCATTCATCCAATGATCGAGAGCGAGCTACCGTGACATCCTGAATACTCAACCACATAGGGAATACGAAAGCGTACTTTTTTCGAACACTGACCATGCAAGGATTAGCAAGGTGCGCTAACAGTACGTCAATTTCAGCTTTCAGAAGGCGACTCTGACACGGTGAATCTGTCCCTGTTTGACCCTGAGCGTAAGTGCACAGAGGGGACGACAATAACGACGACGTAGATATGGAAGAAGATGAAGACGAACGTTTAGCTTTTGTGTTTGCCATGTAACTCACTCTCTGCCTACCCAACGTCGACTCTAAGAGCCAATACTCTGATGCTCACCGGCACCCCCATTTCCCACCTGCCCACCGCTCGCATCTTTGCATATGCCACCATTTCGACACGCACCCCATGGGTTTTGAATGGCTCGACGACAATAGCCGAATCCTCGTTTATCAATCAACCGCCTCTGCACGTACTGCACATTGGTACTTGCAAAAATCTGCTGCGGGAATATGGACGCAGATGGCCTTCGTCACGGCAAAATTCATTCCAATTGGCCGCCAGAAGAGCAAATAACCAAAAGCCCAGGTAAAGGTCAGGGACTCAAAGGTATCACACGCATGCGTTGCCAAGACTAAGGACGATGACATGAAGAAGAAGGGCGCAAAGAAAGAAAGCAAGTTCTAGAAGAGGTATGGAGAAACTGCCGGGAAAGAGGACGAGGGATGGGAAGCATCGCAGAAGAGAAATGGTTCAAGTGTGCGAAGCCGGTTGGATGATGATTATGATATGTTTCTTGGAGCCGATAGACATTCCAAAATTCATGTTGAGTATGTAGGTGGGTCATGCGAAACTGTTGAGTGGATGTCTTCTGCGCCTGATTCTTCGGACCTCGAAAAATTGCATTTCTGCGGCATTGCCACGATGCGCGAGGGGCTGACTTGCGCACCGACTAATAGCTGACCGGTGACCTGCCAATTGACGCTGAAAAAGACTAGTGCAGAGCAAGGGGCCGAGAGAGAAGAGTCTCACGCCCACAGCAAGACCTTTCCAGAATCCAGAACGAAGATTGGATCAGTACCTTCTATGTGGGTCACCATCATGCATCATGCATTATCTGTGGCACACGTTGCTCATTACGTCCTTGATTCCCAGCTAAGGACAACCCTCATGGTATCTTTGAACTTACTGCTCATCACATATCCCAGTGGGTATAGCACGCCGGACATACCCGCGGAAGAAATAGTAAACACTATGTAGGTCTAGTAATGACAACGTTAACCTCACCCAACACTCTCGTGACTCGTCCTCTCTATCAATCACGCAGGCACGAGCAATAAATTCACGTACTTGGACCAGCTTCGGCATCCTGCTGACCCAAATCGTGTTCGCAGAGTCAATTTGGTGCAGCGCCAACGTAGCAGTCTAGAACGCAACTCGACTGACCGAGCAATCTTCAGTTACGTTTCACCTGCAAGTTGCTCTTTCACGATACTATCATCAGCTGTACGTGGCACTCCCGTGTCACCAGGACTTTGACCCGACAATGTCTGGTGCGAAGCCCACTGCTGATACTGGAACCGATTTCTACGACCGCAGTCTGACGAGTCGCAGATATGCCCTTGTCGGAGTGGCATGTACAAGTATCTTCAGCTGCTTATGCGTCGTTGCAGGGATTGTCATTTTAGCCAGGCACGGAATCTCGGGAGTAACCCCGTTCCACATGGTCGGTCCTGAGGAGTTTACTCCATTGCCACTTCAGGCCGAAATATTAACCCTGATACTTGACTTAATCGTCACGTTATGTACCGAGTCCACAGGCTTCGTACACGGCATCTCATTGCGCTCTGCGCTGGCATCAGAGTCTCGGCTTCGTTTCAACACCAACCTGCGCCTTCTGACCGCAGCTCGTGGATGGCATAACCCTAATGGCGCCCTGCTTAACGGTATCTCGGTTGTCCTCCTCATTATATCCTACAGCTCGGCCTCAGTCGTAATATGTATGGACCAATATAACTACTCAGAGACATTCACAACAGTTGTTTTTGAGAATATTGCCATCGCAGGAATACCTCTCCTCATTTTGGGCGTCGCACTCCTCCTCCAGGTGATTATCGCATTGTCAGCGATGTGGACTATCAAAATCCTGACATGGAGCTCCTCACCTTTCGACTTGACCGCCGCACTCGTCCACCACACACAATTGACCCCAGCTACTTTCCGGTGCATGCGTCGTGTGTCTGACCTAGACTCGTATGGAGGACCAGCGAAGCCACCAGAGACACAGCCCTCTGCATGGCATGCTCACCCTAGCATCCGGAAAGTCGTCATTTTTCTTTGGGTTATTGTTGCAGCATGCGCTGGATGGGCCGCACTCGTCATGTATATCTGGGGCCGCCTGTTTGCCAACGAAGCTTACCTCATCAACGACCATCCTCTGACCCTGCAAACGTGGTCGTTCTTCCACAACCTTGATAGCAATTTCGTCGCATATGCTGTGCCAGCTGTCCATCTTCAGGGATGGATTCTACTCTTTGTCAATATTGCGGGAGTCCAGGGACCGTTGACGCTTGGGCTGCATTGCTCGGAGCTCATCGTGAATGTCATTCGAGACGAAAGACAGTGGAGATGCGCTACCACAAGGCAAGGACTTAGAGTGGCGACGAACCCGCTGAAGCCATTTTTCACTCATCCGCTCTGTCTCATACTTTTTATCGCGAAGCCTTTCCTGCGTGAGTCATTCATGCCTAGTATTTTGTTGTCAGTGTTATTGAACACCGACCACAGACTGGATGTTTGGACTTTCATTCGACATATCCCCATTCGCCTATGAGGACGCCCTAGACAATTTTTCGATATATATGTACACCACCCAGGTTCGTACTTACTGTATGTAAAATTGTTACACCATGCTCACACATTCTGTAAGATCTGGAACTTATGCATTGCGCTCTTTATACTTGCCTCTTTCTTCACTTTCATCTCACTGCGCAGACCGCACGGTCCCCAGCCGGCTGCATATGGCCACCTGCAGACGCTCGCCAACCTTGTGGATGAGTGGTCGCCTGTCATGTGGTGGGGACACAAGGAGGATGGGATTCCGTACTGTCATGCTGGTAGGGTACTTGCATGTTCACGATGATGCTGCATTGACACGTTTGAAAAGGGACGAGCGATCACCCGCTGCCGGATGTGAAGATGGACTGCGTTTATGCTGGTTCCGGTGCTGGGTCTCTGGTACCCCTTTCGTGAGAGGTACTTGACTTGCTTGTTAAAGGGAGTGCTCTGATTTCTCTCTTTAAATAGAGAAGTGTATCCATGTCAGGCTGGCGATGCATTTACGGTGCACACAATCAGTAATCTCATTGAACGAGACATACGATTTTCATGCTATCTACTGCGTTCTAGTTGGTTCTTTTTCTTATACCATTCATACGAGTCTGGGACAACTTTTAGCAGGGACACTTTCGATTGGACTTTCAAGAAATCGTTGAATCATTGTAATTTTGGCGGATTATAACTTGAAATCATGTAGCTGATGGACACTTTTCCTAACGGTATCTCTGCGCCGGACCTTACTTATATATCGTCAGTTGATGAAACCGTTCCATGCGATTCAATATCAAGTTTTCACTCGATCCAGAGCGTGCTACACCATCCAATCACGTAGGGAGCATCAAAGTGTACCTTCTCTCTGACACTGCCCAGGTAAGGATGCCAAGGCGCGCGCAATTTCAGCTTGCGCAAAGTGACTCTGACACGGGAATCTGTCTCTGTTTGACCCTGAAGCACAAGCTCACAGAGGATGATGATGATACGTTTAGCCTTCGTATTTGCCGTGCAATTCACACTCTGCCTACTGAACGTGGACTCTGAGAGCCAATGCTCTGCTGCTCACCGATACCTCCATTTCCCACTTGTCCATCTTTGCATGTCACCCATTTCGACACGCACCCCATGGGCCTTGAATGGCTCGACGATGATAGCTGAATCTTCGTTTACGCCTCTGCACATACTGCCATCGGTACTTCCGAAAATCTGCTATGGAGGATATTGATGCAGACGGCTTCACGATGGCAAAACCCACCTCAACCACCTTATGGCCGCCAGAAGGGCGAATAACCAAGAGCCTGGCTAAAGGTCAAGGCTTGAAAGGTATCATACATGCATTGGGCTAAGGATGATAACTCACGTAAAGAAGAAGGGCACAAAGGAAAGCAAGTTCTATAAGAGGTATGGAAAAATCGCCAGGAAAGAGGATGAGCATCGCAAAAGTGAAATTAACTGTGTGAAGCCATTGGATGATGATCTTGATGCGTGTCGTACAGCTGATAGACCTTCCAAAACGCGCTCCGGATAGGAGCACGTCTTCTGCGCCTCATTCTTGGGACCTAAAAAGTCACATTTCTGCGCACGCCGTTGCTGTGCTGCGCGAAGACTGGCGCAGAGCGAGGGGTCGAGGGAGAAGAGTTTCACGCCCACAAAAAACGCAGCAAGACCTTGAGGATGAGGTAGAGGCTCAGGTTTTCCAGAACGAGAATGATACATTCCATGTGAGTCACCACACGTTGTTGATTACGTCCTTGTTTCAATTTATTCTGTTTAGAACAAAGTTCGTGTGTGTCAAATTTGGTGCACCGCCACCTCGGGCAACAACTCGACCGACTCGGACTTGAGTTACATGCATTCACAACACTATTATACACCTGCACCTTCTATGACTTGGAAATCTGACGGTGACTCAGCGCTCAGCGGTCTTCGTTTTTATCTCTGGAGCTAATACAGGTAACAGATGAGGAGATATCGCACCGAAGTACTTACCATAAGGAACCATGCTTACTGCGCCCCCCATCGACTAGATCTCAAAATCAGCAATTATCGGCGTCACGGGCCACAGCTTGTATAGTCAAATGGGGAAACTCGTTTCCTATATACAACTGATACTCGATAACAAAATTATGCAATCCAGCGTCCAATTTCCTCGTCAGTTCACTGATCCGAGTAGGCAGCCACATGCACCAAAAGCTATGGTCAGAATCGAAACATATTTATGTAATCTGCGTGTGTCTAATGCACTGGCCTTTCTGTCTCTGCCTCCCATCATGACGGCAGCTTCTTCCAAACCAACAGAAGAAAATTCGCGTCCATCCAGCCTTCTTGCATACAACGCACTCCCGGGTCACCAGGACTTTGACCCGACAATATCTGATGCGAAGCCCACTGCTGATACTGGAACCGATTTCTACGACCGAAGTCTGACGAGTCGCAGATATGCCCTTGTCGGAATGGCATGTTCAAGTATCTTCAGCTGCTCATGCATCATTACAGGGATTGTCACTTTAGCCAGTCACGGAATCATGGGAGTAACCCCACTCAGCATGGGGATAAATCCACTCCTTGAGGACAACGGCATGTTCTATGCCTATGAATATCCTCGATTGTCGCTGCAGGCGGAAATATTGACCCTGATGCTTGACTTAATCATCACGTTATGTACCGAGTCTATAGGCTTCGTGCACGGCATCTCATTGCGCTCTGCGCTAGCCTCAGAGTCTCGGCTTCGTTTCAACACCAACTTGCGCCTTCTGACCGCAGCTCGTGGATGGCATAACCCTAATGGTGCCCTGCTTAACGGTATCTCGATTGTCCTCCTCATTGTATCCTACAGCTCGCCCTCACTCATCGTATGTGTAGACCAGCAAACCCAATACACCGTGGATGGAGACACCATGGGCAGTGCGAGCGCCGCCATCGCCGGGTTACCTCTTCTCATTTTAGGCGTCACACTCCTCCTCCAGGTGATTATCGCATTGTCAGCGATGCGGGCTATCAAAATCCTGACGTGGAGCTCCTCACCTTTCGACTTGACCGCCGCACTCGTCCACCACACACAATTGACCCCTGCTACCTTCCGGTGCATGCGTCGTGTGTCTGACCTAGACACGTACGGAGGACCAGCGAAACCACCAGAGACACAGCCCTCTGCGTGGCATGCTCACCCTAGCATCCGGAAAGTTGTCATTTTTCTTTGGGTTATCGTTGCAGCATGCGCTGGATGGGCCGTACTTGTCATGTATATCTGGGACCGCCTTTTCATGGGACGGATCGCCAGTCCCCTCACCCTACAAACGTGGACGTTCTTCCAAAATTCTGATGGCAATTACATTACATATGGTGTACCGAATGACGGTATTGAGTGGTGGATTTTGCTCTTTGTCAACATTGCGGTTGTCCAGGGACCGTTGACGCTTGGGCTGCATTGCTCGGAGCTCATCGTGAATGTCATTCGAGACGAAAGACAGTGGAGATGCGCTACCAGAAGGCAAGGACTGAGAGTGGCGACGAACCCGCTGAAGCCGATTTTCACTCATCCGCTCTGTCTCATACTTTTCATCGCGAAGCCTTTCCTGCGTGAGTCATTCACGCCTAGTATTTTGTTGTCAGTGTTATTGAACACCGACCACAGACTGGATGTTTGGGCTTTCATCCAACATAGGCACATACGCCATTGACGACACCCTGAACGATTTTTCGATATCTATGTTCACTGCCCAGGTTCGTCCTTACTCCCCATGTAAAATTGTTACAACATGCTCACACATTCTTGCAGATCTGGAACTTATGCATTGCGCTCTTTATACTTGCCTGTTTCTTCACTGTCGTTGCACTGCTCCGACCGCACGGTCCCCAGCCAGCTGCATATGGCCACCTGCAGACGCTCGCCAACCTCGTGGATGAGTGGTCGCCTGTCATGTGGTGGGGACACAAGGAGGATGGAATTCCGTACTGTCATGCTGGTAGGATACTTGGATGTTCACGATGATTCTGCATTAACACTTTTGAAAAGGGACAAGCGATCACCTGCTGCCGGATGTGAAGATGGATTGCGTTTATGCTGGTTCTGGTGCTGGGTCTCTGGTACCCCGGGCCCTCTCGTGACAGGTACTTGATGTCTTCATGTGTCTTTTTAAGCAGAGAAGCTATATCTACGTCAAGCTGGCGCGGCATTCACGGTGCACACAAGCAGCCATGCCATTGAACGAGACATACGATTTTCATGCTATTTACTGCGTTGTAGTTGGTTCTCCTTGTTCTTCCATTCATTACGAGTCTGGGACAACTTTTAGCAGAGGCACGTTCGATTGGACCTTCCAGCAACTGTTGAATCATTGTAATTTTGGTGGTATTATAACTTGAAATCATGTAGCTGATGGACAATTTGACTGACATCTCTGCGCCGGACCTTTACTAGTACACTTACTACGTTATCATACGATGAAACCGTTCCATACGAATGCCAAGTTTTCACTCATGCATCCAATGATTCAGAGCGTGCACCATTCAACTACGTAGGGAGCGTCAAATTGTACCTTCTCTCTGACACTACCCAAGCAAGGATGCTAAGGCACGCACAATTTCAGCTTGCGGAAAGTGACTCTGACACCGGAATCTGTCCCTGTTTGGTCCTGAAGCACAAGCTCAGAGAGGACGACGATGATAACGTCGATATGGAAGAAGGTGAAGACGAACGCTTTATTTGCCATGCAACTCACTCTCTGCCTACTCAGTGTCGACTCTAAGAGCCAACGCTCTGCTACTCACCGGCACCCCCATTTCCCACCTGCCCATCACTCGCATCTTTGCATATGACACCCATTTCGACACACACCCCATGGGCCTTGAATGGCTCGACGACAGTAGCTGCATGTGAATCTACAGCAACAAACAAATGTACGAGGGTGGTGCTAGTAAGACATGGAAACAACTTGAAAAAAGTATACGTGATGGAGAGTGCGAGCGAGCAGCACGCAAGGTGTGAAGAGGTGGTGTGGGCGTACGATAAACATACGGTGGCTGCGCGTTTCCTTCCACTGAGTTTGTTGAACCCGGAATAACGTTGATCGTATCGAACACCGGTCAAATATGCTTTCGGATGAGTCTGTAGAAGAGAGGTGATTGCGGTCTCTTGACAGAGGTCAGCTATTCCCATTTCTTGTCTGGGGATGTCTGTGTTCAGAGAAAATCGGACACTCCCATTCGGTCAAACCTCCTCGTGGAAACCGAGAAGGCGACCCAGAACTGTTGGATGTGAACAGTCTTGAAGGAAGATCGGCAGTTCGACCAGAGGACAAAGGGCGGGAAGATTTGTTCGATGAAAACGCCTCAAACGAGCAGCGGCAGTCAAACTTAAAATGTTTGAACTGTCTCAAGGAGGTAAGTCGAACAATTGGGAGCGAAGATGCGCCCTGGCGTTGGTACAGCGATGTTCTGCGACACTCTCTGGCATCAACGAGTTGCTGGACACTGTCGTAGCGGAGGCATAAAAGCGGGAACAAAAGCGGTAGCTCTTGTGATGGATGGAGTCCTCCGAGCCTTTGTCGAGACATGCTAATTAACGGTCAAATGACAATTCTGTTTCATTGGAATCTTCAACTGCCTGGTCTCTGGAAAATGAAGGAAAAGCTTCCGAGAGAGGCGATAATTATAAACAACAGGAAAAATTAACATAAAAGCCATACCTGAGTTACGCGAGCGTCTGATAACTGTTCTAGGACCGCAGAAAAACGTGGTATCTGTCAGTAGAGCGAGAAGATGATGGGCTATAGTCTTCGAGGTACCCCGGTGTCGTTCCTCGTCAACACTGAACAGCGGAGAAGTGAGAAATGGAGTCTCCAAGCACTAGAAAAAATAGCAGCATTTAATCAACATGATCATCACTTGTCTGGAACAACGCACAGGCTAGTATGCATGCAAGAATGTAATCTACATGGGGCGGCCGCGGCGGCGCCCTCATAGAGCATGAATTACTCTACCTGTCTCGATATCCCTCGATCTGCCTCTTGTGGGTTTTCACTGGGAGCCTTGTGCTCGGGATGTGTAGTGTCGTGCACCCGGTTTTGTTGTCCCATTCCGCTCGAAATTCTGAGGTCACGTGACTCGGAACACGCTTGCGCGACTCGCAGGAAACCGTACATCTCACCGAGAAACTTTTTAATCAAATCCAGAGCTTTCGACACTCAGCAGACACCGAGACACGCCCATCAGTAAAGACGTACTAACACGACCGAACCCCCTCCCCAAACTGGCGATACTCGCACCTCACATCTCACAGTAAGTATGACGCCCGCAAAACAATAGGTTATGTAATCAGGCGGGCTTGTTTGTCTCCAGCATACGAAGTCTCTAGTAAGCGCGCAAACCACGCGAGCTAGCGAAACCCTTCCCTCACCGTCGTCCCTTACTTAATAGATGGAACTTGAGGGGTTTGCTGGTCCGAAGGTAGTCCAGCCTTTGACGCCCGAGGCGCTGGCAACATTCAATGCTGCGCAAGCCCGCACTGGCGTAATCTACATTTCACGAATACCTCCTGGTATGCGTCCTGCAAAAGTACGACATTTAATGAGTGCCCATGGTGAAGTGGGGAGGGTTTATCTCCAACAAGAAGGTGCGTCTGCTCTTCACCATGCTATTACACACTAATTGGATTTTTGTTAAGACGCCAAACGCGCATACCTCCGCCGAAAGTATACGTCCACCAAAAAGCCGCATTTCACTGAAGGCTGGGTGGAGTTCAAAGATAAAACGGTCGCAAGATCTGTAGCTGAGATGCTAAACGCGCAGCCGATCGGCGGCAAGAAGGGTACTCGCTGGCGAGATGATGTATGGACTATGAAATATCTCCCAAAATTTAAATGGAACATGTTGACTGAGCAAATAGGTGCGTGTTTTCACTTCATTCATGAACACGTGGGACACTCATTGCAACCTCAGCACATGAAGCTGCTATTCATACTGCTAAACTGCGCATCGAGCTTGCGCAGTCGAAGACGGAACAACACGATTACCTCAAGAATGTAGAACTTGCACGAGTATTGGACAAGCGTAATGAGAAAAGAAAGGAAAAGGGTTTGGGGCCAGTTGAGCTTAAGCGCCCAGCTGAAAGTAGTAAAGAAGAGGAGCCTCGAAAGCGACTGAAGCACACGGATGATACCCAGCTTGATAGTGTACTTGGTAGCATATTTTAGTTTAAGAGTTTTATCATAGTACTCTAACGTTAACGTTAAATGTTCAACGTGTTCAATTAGTGCACGGGCCAGCCGGCGGCACGGGATAAAATTTAATCGGCGCGTGAATGGGGAAAGGAAGAGAACATGGTTGACGGAAGCAACGACTTGCATCGCGACATTGTTGACAAAGGTTTGAGTTGGTCAACTGCACGGTTGGTCTCAAAAACTCACAGTCTCGCGATCCAAGAGGTCTGTCTGTCCTTCTACATCATGCTCGGCTCTCTCCTCAAACCTCCATCCTTGCCGTGGAATATCGTCTCTGATTTCTCTCTCAGTTCTTACTTCTAAAGATATTATAATGTCTTCCTGGCCTGCTCCTGCTTACCCTCCGCCTCGTCGTTCGCGTTCTCGCTCCCCTCCTCGTGGTGGTCATCCTCGACCACCATATCCAGACGCTGGGTATCCTCCGGACCAGCACAGAGGTGGAGGTGGCTGGGATCCACATGAAAGGGATAGGGAGAGAGCATGGGTCGAGTATGAGCGAGATAGAATCGCATATGACCACACTCGTCGCAGAAGCCGCAGTCCGCCACCGGACGACAGTATGAAAATTTCTTTATACTTCATCTCATGACAGTACATTGACTAGTCCAATTTATATAGGCAGAAAACGTCGCAGGTCCGTTTCACCTTATGACAGGGAAAGGGAGCGATATGACCCACGCCCGCGTTATGGCGATGATTATGGTGTTTCGGCTGCGTTAAATCATTTTCTCATTTCTGACCTCAATCTAGATGCACATTCGCGGGTATATAGCTACAGGTCTCCCCCAAGAGCTCAATTTGCGCCCCCATATCCTCCTCGCAGGGCACCCGCAGACCCGCGTACACTCGATCACCCAGCAACCCTGAAGCAATATGCCGAATGGTTTAGATATGCTTTCCCTCAACAAGCTTCTGATGAGGATGCCGCCGACAAGGCAGCAGAACAAGAAGCTGGCGATGGTTCCAAGCCTCGCAACGGCATTCGTTCTCGTTGGGAGAAATATAAGAAGGATTTCGTCGCAACTCAGGTTAGTCGTCGTCAATCTCTCAAGCGTACTGTGTGTACTGCGTGGCATATTGTGTCCTTTGCCGTCATGAGTTTTGTGAAGCAGCAGCTGAACGTCCTTTGTTATGTATGTAGTTGCAGACCATGTTTGATCACCATAGGAAATCCCCATGGTTTGCAGAGAAGTATGACCCAGCTCCGGAGTTCGTTGCTCTACGCCGTCGTGTTCGAAAGGAAGGTTGGAGAGGGCGATTAAACACGTTTCTGCTAGACCTCGAGTCGGGCAAGTTTGATCCTGACTTGAGCGAGCCTGAAACAGACACAACTTCTCCCGTTAAGGAGACAGTCGAGGCTGGTGAGGATGCGAAAACTGGTGGCGATGATGACATGCAGTTCAACCTCGACGCTGAGGACGATGCTGGTGAACAAGAGCCCAGCCGCGCTGAGGCCAACGGGAAAAATGTAAATGACAACAAGCGCAATAATCGTGGCGAAGAGATTGCTGTCGCTCCGGAAGGCAATCAGGTCATGATTCGGACTATTCCGCCTGATATCGGCCGTGTGAAGCTGGAGGAGGTAAGTGTGGTCGTTCTATGGTGATTATAAGAGCTCATCAGGGCTTTGCAGGCATGTTGTAAGGTGCCAGGATACATGTATCTAGCGCTCGGCGATCCCCTTCAGAAACGCAACTACTATCGCGCTGGCTGGATCAAATTCAGTGACGATGCTGATATGACAGTTGTTATGAGTGAGTTGACTGATAAAAAGGTGAAGATCTTGGTTCCGTACCGCGTGTCTTTCGTTAACACGACGCGATAGATCGAAGGCTTCAAGCTTCATGTTGCTCACACTGTTAAGCCCTTTGTAAACAGAATTCGCTATGTCCCAGAAGTCGCCAGTAAGCCAGACCGCATCGAGAAAGACCTTGCGAACGCAAAGCTCTTGGCCTCTATTTTAGAGGAAGAAGCTTTAGCACTACGCCAGTTTAATCCAGCAGGGCATGAGTCCTCGGCAACGAACGGAGATGCAAAACCCGTGGATGCTGTGATGAGTGATGCACATGCAGACCATGAGGACGATCCGGAACCAAAAGAATCCGGATCTGAGGCTATAGAACGGAGGATAGAGAAGATTATGGCAGACCTTCGCGACCAGGGGGCGGTTGATGAAAAAGTCGTGGAGGCGAAAAAAGTATGTGGGATCTGACGCGCTCTATTTCATTGTTGCTGACTTTCGCTCTCGGCTTTTTTTAGGCTGTTATTTCCCTGGACTTATATCTTGCCTACCTTCGGGCAGCGTTTCACGCATGCTACTACTGCGCTGTTGTTACCGATCATCTTGAAGAATTGCAGCGTAAGTGCTTGCAGCATGTGAGGAAACCTCTATCCAAGTCACTGCTTGAGGAGGTAAAGGCTGCTGAGGCTGAGAAAGAAAAAAAAGAAAGGGACGATGAGAAAGAAAGTGACGCACCTTTACCCCCTAAGCCAACCGAGAACAGAGATTGGAAGCGCAATGGTAAGCTTCCGGCATTTATTAAAGTCGGTCTGGCTAATTACGTGGAGCAGATGAGAGATGGCTGGAGTGGTTTGATAGCAAGATTGCGCTACTGATCAATCGCAACGACCTGGACCCGCGTGAATATGGTGGCAAAAGTTACGACGAGTGCGTGCCTCCTCTGATCTCAGATGATTGGAAATGTCATTCTCGTTGCAGGGAGCTGAGCAAAGCTGTCGAGCAATTCATCAAGCAGGAAGATGAGGGCAGGTTCCGGTGCAAGACTTGCCAGAAGCTCTTCAAGGCTACCTCGTTTGTCGAGAAGCATGTCGCGAACAAGCACCCTGAACTCGTGAAACAGCTCGATGAGGTACGCATGTTTAATTTCGTCTTCTTTCGGCATCTCACGGTCGCCGGATTTTCAGGTCCCTTACTTCAATAACTTCGCGCTGGACCCACATAGAATCCAGCCGTTCACACACCCACCTCCTATTACCGGGAACAGCCAGCCTCCTCCCCAAGCATTCGGCATTCAAGGACACGCGGTAGTATACCCGCCCCCGGACTTTGGCCGGCCGAATCCATATCTTACTTATCCTGCTGCGTTCCCTCCGCCGCCTTATGGAAACAATGGTCACTGGGATCATTTCGGATATCAATACGGGCCTCCAGGTCTATTTCCTACTCCTACACCTATCCGAAGGGATGAAGCGACCACCGCTCGCAGGCTCAGTGATCGTATTAGCGGCTATGCACCCAATCTGGAGCAGCCGATAGAGGTTACAATTCCCGCTAATGCTGGACTTCCCGCTAAGCCACAAGTTACTATGGACCTTGGCCAGCCTGCGGCGGATATTGGCAGGAAAGGTCGCCGAGGAGCCACGAGCTCAGGTCCACCGCCACCTCCGCCACCCGATGCGAAGGAGGATCCCAGGGCTGCTGGGGGCAAGAAAGTCAGCTACCACGACATGGACTCGGTTGCTGAAGGAGATGTCGAGTTGACTTACTGATGTGATGATGCATACGTGATATAATTTCTCTACGCTTTCGCAATATATTTTGGTGATTATGTCGCATGTTGGAAAGCGTCTTCCTCAGAGAGCGCTGAGGAGGAACCCGTGTACTGGATGTGGCAAACACTTATAATATTGAGAGATCGTAGAACAAATTAGAAAGCCCAAAAGGGTCCAGGTCGTGCTCAAAAAGGATGAGTGTTGCGGTCGGTGTAGCACTGTGTAGCATTTCTCCCTGACCCTTGCCTGTCCCTTGCTTATTAACTCCCTTGTTTTGTAAACTACCTATTTCTGTGTTCCTTCTGCACAATCATTCCAGTTCGAAACTTGCACTACAAGTCGGGTGCTGTCGCACAACTCCTGACTCTACGGCACCGTGATCATCAATGAGTGGGGCCAAACCTATTCTTGCTCATCGTCTGCCGGTATCCGTTCTTGTCAATGAAGAAGGACTGATAGCGCCAGAAGCCATTGGCCCGAGCAAGTTTGCGGTAACGTGGTCTGCTGAACCTCCCCCTCCTGTACTTGCACCTCTTGTACAAGCTGCAGAGCGCCAAGTTGTCCTCAGCTCATCTGACGGTGAATCAGATTTTTCGGAGAAAGATCTCTGCTCGTTGGGAGAAAAGCAATCACCTGCCGAGCTTTCTGACGAATTCGAAAGTTCGCTGAGTCAACGTTTTCGGCCTCAGCAACTCGCTCCTCACCATCACGATGAAAATCCGATTATTCCACGGCTTTCTCGTGCAACCTCCATGCCTTTGCCATCACAGCTAGAGCATCTAAAAAATCCCCGCAGGACGACCGTGTCTACTTCACCTGAAATGCCTAGTCAACCTCTCTCCACAGATGCCACTGCCGAATCCTCTCGGTTCCACGAACTTTCGTTAGAACTCGCGGATTCTGTTCAGATGGTCGTTCAGACCCTTTTACAGGTCTCGCCAACGCAAATACTTGACCCGGCGAAAGAGCAATTTGCAGCTTGTTCTCTCTCAGTCCCCACCGCCTGCATGTCTGCTGTATTCACGACTATGAAGAACCTCAATTACATTTCTGCGAATATGCCAGATCTATGTGCCGACACATTCAACTCTGCTCATTCCAGCAATTCTACTTTGACAGCCCGCCGATTGACCCTGCCTGGACCACCTGTCACTCCAGCCACGGATTTCGATATTGGGGAGATGCTGCAAGGAGTCGGAGATGCATCGAGCGGGAGGGCCGCTGAAGTTGGTGTAGATCTGGTCTTATTCCATAGCGATGTTGGGATGAGGCATATTGCGGTCAAGGGAGTAGAATGTGGAATATCTAATGTGCTAACGCATGTGAGTGGGCCCGTTGCAGTTGAAGTCCTAGTCTCACGACCTACAGGTCGTCCGTCAAATCATCAATACCGCACGCCGCGGTGATTCAATTGATTTGGGCCTTAGTGTCGCTTCGTCGAGCTATTTGGGCTCAAATATGTCACCTTCCATCGAGAAACCAAGTTCGACAGCAAGGGGTGTCTCTTCTCCCGTCCCCATAGATGAGGATGAAACTTTGCAGTGCACATTCGAAATCCATCATCGTTTTCATTCGCCGGATGTGCCAGTGGACGACATGACACCTACCAACACAAACCCTTCCGACGTTCTAGAGCGTCCAGAGCCCAACTTTGGTTCGATGTTGTTTCGAAGGCTACTTCTTCGATGCGGCGCGTCGCTTTCATCCGACGTCACTGATGACGTAACTTCAAGAAGGACGTATGAAGTCAAGCTTGAACTTCAGCGTGGTTCAGTAGATACGATTACTGCCAAATCCTCTGCAACATCTGAACAATCTCATGTGCTTCTCAGTGGGGTTCGGTTAGGAACGGAGCCGTCTCTTGAAGAGCTTGGTCAATTCGCTGAAACTTTGCGCGGAAAGAAGGTCACCTTGTATGCAAGCTCCACAAGCTCCTTTGCACATCACCTGACAAGCTATCTCACTGCTTGGGGGTTGGATGTCAGTCACGTTTCGCCAGAGGCTGAAGTCGATGGCACTCCAGGCGCCAATGAAGCTCCTGCCCCTCCATCTCGAGAGCGTGGATCACAAGAGCCTCGAGCCCCATCCACGAACGGCACCCCACGCTTAGCTCCGTCGCTGTCATTCGTAATGATCGATGACGATGTCTCCATCCTTCGGGAGAGGTTGCGCAAGTACAGAGCAGAGCAACCGATACCTCTCAGCCTTCACTCTCGGAAACGGCCTTCTCTAGCTGCTCACCATCGCCCAAAGTCGTCACCACAAGTAGCCCGTACTCTAGGCTTAGGATCACAGGCCCTACCGCAACAAACACCCATAGTAGTCGTTCACTTCACCAGCCTGGCCAATTACAAACTGGTCAAGGAAATCATACAATGCGATCTCGCTTCCCACTCCTATCCAGCATGTCCCCCCGAAGTTATGATTATTCCTAAGCCCGCGGGTCCACGCAGGTTCCTTACTGCGCTGCACACTGCTGTTACTAAGCCTATCGTCGATCCATTCTTTGCCCCAATTGCTACCTCGCCACTTAGCCCTGGTTCGCACAGTTCTCCCTTCTTCAATTTAACTCAGACAAGTCCAAAATCCCCTTCTTCTCGCCCATCGAACTCATCGCGGACCAATTCCGAGCGATCTATGCGATCTACGAGGGACAGTACAAGTGAACACCACTCGCATGCACCTCCATCACCCCTCGGTCTCGCGGATAACATGGAGTATTTCCCCGAAACTCAGAGCCCTGTAAGGCTTGGTCAGACGCCATCCTCCGGGCTCGTCATTTCGAGCCCCGACGGACAACCAACAGGCATTATCTTCCAGCCGCGTGCAAAATCTACGAAGCCTATCACACCATCACCCAATAGTGTTGCAGTCGATCGGGATAAGCCGCAGTTTCTATTAGCCAGTTCTGAACGGCTACGAGGGTCCTCCCGCCGTCTATCGGACAGTGAACAGAAGAAGCAGGGTCAATCGCCGCTCTCCTTTGCGTCTTTGCACTCTAATGTGTTGGGAAGTGTATCACCCCCTCGGCGAGAAGCTTCTCCTATCGAGGGTTTTACCCCCATCTCCACTACTCCCAAAGCAAAGGGGAAAGGAGTAACTTCCCCTCAGGCAGATGAACTTACCCCCTCATCACCGCTATCTCCCCCATCGCGTAACGCAAGCACTGTTGATCTAAGGAAGGTTTCTTCCCCTCCAAGTTCTCCAGTAATACCGGAACCCCAACCCAGTGTGCTCACGCGAAGACCAGGAAGGCGAGTAACTCATGATTCAAAACCTTCGACGCCCCCCACTGCGTTGGGGAAAGCAGGCAAGGGTCAACCTGACACAAGCATCATACCTCCAATTAGCGTGCTCATCGTTGATGGTATGGGCTTCAATCTTATCATACGTCGCGCTAATCGGTTGGACCAGATAACCCAATCAATCAGACTATTCTGTCGACCTTCATGAGGAGAAAAAAGATTAAGTATGACGTGGCCAAAAACGGAGAAGAGGCGGTGCAGAAGTGGCAAAATGGTGGTTTCCACTTGATTTTGGTATGATATTCCCTCATAGGACAATTCCATCGAGCTGATATGTTATCTCAGATGGACATTCAAATGCCTGTTATGGACGGCATACAAGCGACAAAAGAGATTAGAAGATTGGAGAGTTTGACAGCTTCTTCGGGCTACACCCCAGGCACACCGCTATCCGATACACTTTCAGATGGAGCATTCTCCGAATCTCGTGCCTCAGCATCGCCTTACCGTTCCGCTGTCATTATCGTAGCTCTCACGGCTTCATCCCTCCAGAGCGACAGAGTGGCGGCGCTTGCGGCAGGTTGCAACGATTTCCTGACCAAGCCTGTGTCTTTAGAATGGCTGAATAACAAGATCATCGAGTGGGGGTCGATCAAGGCTTTGCAGATGTGGGCTGACCTGCGGCCGGAGGTAGTGAAAACCATCTCGACTGAGCAAACGGCTCAAGCGCAACTTGTGGCCCGTCGACTTCACGTTCCCGAGGGTCGAACGACTCCAATCGGTTCTCTGAGTAGATCGACATCAAAAGCTAGAGAGGAGAAAAGCGATCCCCCTGTTCAACCTGGTCCTGAGCTTACTGCTAAACTCGCGGAACCGAAAGGAGTGGACGAGACAACCTCGAAACCGGCAAATGACTTGCCCGATAATGATTCCCCCGGATCATCGCCTTCTTCTGAATCTTCTGATTCCTTTGAGCAATCTGGTGAGCTCAATCTTCTATTTCTGCCTTTCTTTCACTTAGATCGGTGATTTCAGGAGAGAAGTCCGCATCACTCCCTGGTGCGCTGGTTGAAACATATTTGAAAAATCGACATTAATCATTCTCTAGCCTCTCATAATAATGACACGGATGATGCGGTCACCCAATCTGAATCTATGACTGCCAAGGATGAGCACACGCCTACAGGTATTTTGTTCCCACCTGGAGTGCCACTCGATTTGGCTCAATATATTTCACAAGACGGGGAGGAATGCCATGAAAGCTCATCGGAAACGTCTTATGCGACTGCAAGTGAAACGTCAACAAATGCTTCTGAATTCCAAGATGCGCCAACATCACCTCAATGACGACGTTGGGCGACCTTTGGAAGCTTTGCGAGGCTGGCCGCGCCTATGGTCTTACCATTATATCTGAAGGTTGCCGCGTTCTTCCGCAAATATTTTTAATGATTCGTATACCTACCTTGTCATTTTTTTTGTCCGTTCGTGTTGATCACTAGGTGCTGCATGCTTTATTCTGGGTTTTATGGGGTTATTGGGTGATTGTCTTTCGACTCTGATAGCATACTACTGCTGAGTTATATGAAATAAGGATTGACAAAAAATAATGTTCTCACCATTAGGCAATAGAGTGATTCGGAAGATGCCCGAATTTGACCATTAGTGTGAAGGTGTGCAATTGCAATGGGCGTGCTTGGCAACATGGCTTTTTACAATGTGATGAGAGTAAAAGATGTAGTGGGTCAAGCAGTTGTACTGTTTGTAGTCAGGGACGGTGGACCGACTGCGGTGATTCAGGTTCGCGGAAGAGTTACTCATGAGATGAATTTTCTATACGTGGCGAATGACGATCAGTAGGTTCGATGACTCAAGGTAAAGATGTCACCCAGCAGTCTTTTTTTCGTAAAATTTGATGTCGAAGCCTGAACTTGTACACCAACGAGAGCCTACCCGCGCAGTTCTTGACCTTCTTTGTTCGGCTTCTCGCGGCCCTTTTAAGTTTTACGGAGAAATCAGCCTAAACATACCTATTTGCGGCATTCGCCGTACCGGTGGTTTCTTTCGTACTCCGCGTGGCCGAGAGGATTTGGGTGAGGTCTCCCAACACCTCATTTCTCTACACCAAAGTCCGTCTTTTTTACAAGTGGATTCGTTCTTTTCCCAGTTCTTAATTTTCTTCTCATCGTTCACTTCAACGATGAATACTATGCACGACTCCCACAAGAGGACTTCTATCAGTCAACTTCTCAATCCATCATCCGACTCCTCAGTCTACTCCCATGCTACTCATCTTCCATCGCCTGTCGCTGTTTCTCAGTACCAACATCCTCCCCACCAGCAACAACCAAACTATAATCAGCCAATAGACTCTGCTTCATCTTTCCATCTCAGAGCTGCAAGTTGGGAGCCCAGTGACGACCCGTCTGTACCTAAACGTAGAATTGACAATGGGCCACCTTTAGCTCGTCCATATCCATTACCACCTCACCATCATATGCATACCGAACCTAATGGTGACATGGTTCCTCGCCAGGGCAGATCAAGGATGGATGACCCTGCAAACTACGCAATGCCACCTAATTCTTGGCCATCTCAAGCAGATATGTCAAATCCTCCCTATGGATCTCCCATCGTCGCCCCAATGTATTCAGACGAGCGAACAGGTAAGTAAGCATTCTAGATGCACCTGAATTCTCATTCAAGCCTTTGTCTACCCCAGCCTTATCGGGCGACTATCCACCAAACAGTTAGCTTATTATCTGTTGACTCATATGACTGCGCCACTCACTTTTACTTTTAGCTCAGTTCCATCCCGCGCAAAACTTCCATCCCCAGCAACTACCACCAGGACATCCTGCTTCATGTAACTATCATCTCTTGATCATTCCTGTTCTCGTTTTCTCAATTTGCACCGATCCTAAGCCTTGCAGCATGCTGAAAGAGCTTCTGTTCGTATAGCCGCCCGCTTCACAGCTCCCTTACCAGGGCAGCCGATTTATGAGATGGCTCCCATGCATCCACCAGCAGGAATCTTCTTGTATCATGCCCCTCCCCTTCCCCCGCAAAAGCGTCCTTCGACTGAAGATGACCAAGCACCAAAGGCTAAGAAGGCGAAAACTAAGGCAAAGACTGCAGAGGGAAATGGTACATATATACATTGCATCTCGCGTGGTATTTTGCATGGTGGCTGATGATATACCCAAGGTTCATCCAAGCGGGGTTATAACGCTAAGAAGCGCAGCGAAGCTGCCCAGATTGCAGCCCAAAATGGTCAGTTGACGTATGGTTGAACTACGGTTGCTAACTACCCTTCAGCCCAGTTGATGCCGACTGTTTCTTACGCGTCGACCCCTACCGACAAGGGCAGTGATAAAACCGCAGAAGGTAAGCCGCTACTTCCGTCGACATCCAATGGTTCTTGACGTTCAAAAGCTCCAATGCGCATGGTGACGGGCGATAATGGACAGAACACCGACGCTTCAGCTCAGCTGCACCCCGAATTACAATTTGCTCGGTGCATGTCAAATCGATATAGATCTGAACAGTTCCCACGCTGTGTGTCGTGCACGCGTCGCTGGGCTGGTGACACATGCAGATTCCAAGGCATACGGTTTTTCTTGAAAGACAATCAGAGAAATATTGTTGGTGTCAGCTTCGTTGAGAATCAGCGAGCTGATGCACCAAACATGAGTTTCCCCGTGAGCTGGAATGTCTCGCTGACGCCCACGCATATACGGCGAACGAAAGTGAGAAACAATCTGTTATGAGTTTTGACGAAATGTCGAGTCTAACCATTCGAGTAATTAGAGGACGATAGCTCAGGCTCTTCTCCCGACGCTTCTTCAGGAGCTGCAACACTTGAACTACTCAGAGATCATCCGGAGGACCCGAGAAAGCGAAGTGCGCGCCACTTGTGGTCAGTGTTACGCGACCTTTTATTTTTTCGCGTTTACCTAATAATATTTTCATCGCAGATACATGCATGACCTCGATTTTCTCCAGCAGTTGGATGTGCCGATTATGCGGGAGAGAAGCATGTGCAGAATGTTTTGAACAAGTGAAAGATCTCACCGAAGATAAACCTGGTGCAGGCCAGGCTGAGATTGCTGCTCTCCAAGCCCGCCGAGAAAAACATGCTCATAGCAATCCATTTTTCTTGTCCTGCACGCGGCGGAACGAGCATCACGCAAAGGACTTTTCACCGATGTCACGCTTTTGCAAGGCCGAGCTCGCGCAGGCGATTAAGGACATGGAAGCTATGCTTCTGGAGCCGGATAATGATGCGCTCCCCAACGCCGGACCAATAGATCCATTACTGCATGTGGAACAAGCACAGGCAAACGGGGGCACTCCACCCTCTGCGCAAGTTTCAGATTCACAGATCGGCGGCGAGGCATCCGCACCGGCGCCAGAGTCGTCAATCTCCTCTGCTCCCCAACACGGCTTATTACAAGACGGCGTCTTCCATCCTGAATCAGCGCCAACAACTACTTCATCTGTTTCACGAGTCGCCGAGCCACCGCTATCAGCCCCCGTAGTGCCACCGTCCGCTGATCAGAATTCTACTCAGTCAAGTGACATACCTTCACATCCGACCACCACCATCCCGGATTCGCAGCTTACAGAGGAAATTTTCCGTCCATTGTGGGCTAAAGGAGAACCACTTGTGGTCACCGAGTTGCTGCCCAAGTTCCAGATTCAGTGGACGCCTGAGTATTTCGTACAAAAGTACACCTCTCAAAGCTGCCTCATTTTGGAGTGCCAAAGCGATGTGAATAAGCGTGTGACGGTAGGCGAGTTCTTTTCGTGGTTCGGAAAATATGAAGGGCGGGCGGAGTGCTGGAAGCTCAAGGTGCGTTCATTACGAGTGTGATTCCTGACGCACACTTAGTGCGTATCTCTAGGATTGGCCACCATCAACAGATTTCAAGACAGCATTTCCTGAACTTTTTGAGGATTTCAGTCGGGCTGTACCCGTGCCCAATTATGTTCGTCGAGATGGAACACTCAATATTGCCTCACATTTCCCTAGCAATACAGTTGCACCTGATTTAGGTAAGCGTTACGATGACCACGAATGAAGATCGGCTAATCAATGAGCTTTATCGCAGGACCCAAGATGTACAATGCGATGTCGTCATTCGAGTCGGCAGGCAGCAAGGGGTCAACGAGACTTCACATGGACATGGCTGATGCCGTAAATATTATGACATACGCATCTACTACGCCAGATGGCAGACCAGGATGCGCAGCATGGGACCTCTTCCGTGCCCAAGATGCAGAGAAACTACGTACTTTCCTTCGGAGGAAGTTCAAGGGCTCATATCAACACGACCCGATCCACTCACAGCAGTTCTACCTGGATACTCAGCTACGGAAAGAGCTATATGATACGCATGGTATCAAGAGCCATCGGGTATATCAGAGACCAGGAGAAGCCATATTCATCCCAGCCGGTTGCGCTCATCAGGTTCGTCATGTACCTTTTTGCTGTGCTTTGACGCTCATAATTTGCAATGCAGGTATGCAATCTCGCGGATTGTATCAAAGTCGCAGTCGATTTTGTCAGCCCCGAGAATATTGAGCGCTGTGAGAAATTAACACGCGAATTCCGGGAACAAAACCAGTCCATGGCGTGGAAGGAGGACGTTCTTCAACTGCGTACTATGATGTGGTTCGCATGGCTTTCGTGCTGTCGGCAAGAGAAAGAGATGAATGACCCTTGAGACGCATGTGGATGTGGATGTTCTGTTCCTTGTGGCGGTATTTTGTATGATAGAGAGGTTTAGTATTGTATGGGGGAAACCCAATTAATCGTTCGACCTGCGTGCTTTCTATTTTTCATTTGCTTTCTTGTACATGCGTAATCTTAGTTCGAATTCGTGCTTATCTGCACCGGTTTGTTATCTGCCGCTCGATTCCTTAACTTGTGGATTTTGACGTTTTTAAACTCCGATCACCGACCGGCTCCAAACAAAGCCACACATCGCACAACGTATGGTTCATCCCGGTTGCACATAAGTATCCACCAGATCTCCAATTTTATGTAAATGGAACGTCTTTTGTGCTCAAATGGGGTATCTACATGTGTGATGGGTCGACTCAAGAAGTACATACAGTCATTCAAAAATGACTCAGAGGCTCATATGGTGAAATAAGAAGGGTGGCTACATCACAACCTCTGTGCTGCTTTAGAATCTAGCATTTTTTTATAAACTTCGTCCCATCCTTGAGGCAGGGTTGAGCTGTACATGGCTGTAAATGGACCAGGAGAACCCTCCCCCCAAATGGTCTCAAGTTCAGGAAGTATGTCAAGGAGGATGCGAGCGACTGTTTCTGGGTCGCTGATGTGAGAATCAACAAGTCTGGGATATTTGACCAGTCGGTTGCAAACACCACGGCCTGGTTTGTCATCCCGCAGTCCATCTAGCTTGGTAGCGTCGATAGCCAGGTTAAAGAAGCGAAGATTGGGGCACAGCTCCAGAAGCGAAATGAGACCGTGGAAGGTGATCTCAGGAGTCCGAGTGCTACGAACCATGTTGAAATCTTGAAACGATGCCGTTGCATCTAGGTGCAATGACATCATTGGACCCATCATAGTAAAGGGTGGCATAGGTGGGAGCCCGACAGGCAGGGGTTGCACAGGTGGGAGTCCGACAGGCAGTGGTGGCACAGGTGGGAGATCATTGTCATCGTCGTCATCGTCACCGGGGAGGTCCATGATAGGCAGGGGCTGTGGAGGAACTGGTGGGTACAAATTGCGACAGTCAAACAGCTCAAGCTCCTCCAATAGTGGCCAAGCAGAAGCCATGGCACGCAGATCATCATCAACGAGTAAGAACAACGGCGTCATCATTATACGCAATACACGGAGGTTGCAGCATAGGAAAAGGGGTCGGAGCACGTTAGAGCCGTTGACGGCACCACTGCTCAGAAAGGCAGGAACGTTCAGGCGAAATTCTTCAAGGTTGCCGCAAGACACGTTTTGACTGATGGGTTGCAGAATGGGCTCGACCGTGTCCACACCAACATCACCCGATCGATACACTGGAAGGAAGATATCTATAGATTTGGGCAAGGTCCTCATCGCTTGAAGGATGGAATTAGCAGTCGCTAGGCTGTTGGCTTGAAATTGGAGTGTGTGCAAGGATGGAAATGAGAGGGAATTTGTGGGCAGATTGAGATCAGATATGTTGTCAACGCGCAATCGAAGAATTCTGAGACATGATAATGCAGAAAGGTTGAGGATGCATTCGCAACCCACGGGGCTGTAGTCCAGCACCTCGAGCTTCTTCCATGAACAAATTACGCGGGATAAGAAGCTTTCAGCAATAGCTTCGTATCCTTCTGACAAATAGAATAACAATCCCAGCGTATTCAGCTCCGGGCAGAGTCCCCGTATTTTTGACAGGAGTAAGGGGGTGGATTTCGGGTTCCACTGAAAGCTTGAGATGCGAAGAGACAATAAACGTGGATTGAGCAGAGGCCAGAGCAGAGCAAGACTAAGTTCATCAGTCCAAGCCAGGTGGGTGAGATTGGGAAGGAGTGGTGTGGGAATTCGAAGAACGTGAAACACCCCCAGGTCATCAGGGACAGCTGTAGCCCTCCAGCCCCCTTCGTATCCAGAAAGCTCTACTTTGTGGACGCGATACGCGTACTTGTGAAAGACAGTTAAGTCAGGTCCTGAATCAGTGTTGATTTCTGATGTGTCCTATTCGATAAGCGGATCAGGGTGAGGAGTAACAGATGGATACTGGAGACGTGCCTCGTTGTCCAACTTCATGTTAGTATCGTAGATGCACGACACTAATGGATAGAGGCTACGTAGCTCGCTCCAGAGAGCATCCAACGATGCATCACTGAGAGCACTGCAGGTTCTAGCGAGTGCTGCGAAAGTCCGGCGACTGATTTGCTGACTATCAGCCTTGATGAACGCGAAGATGTGATCTAAGATGTCTGGAACGAGTAGCGCATGATGCATTTCGACAATTCAATAGTTGTTGGTCACAATGTAGGCTATAAGCGAGCTAGAGGAAATGTTTTTGTTGAGAGAAGGTCTGCATGAAGTAAGCAGATACCTACCTAGTACCTCAGGTCCTCAACGCCACGAACAAAGGATTGCTGTACGTAGTAAACGAAAAAGGCAACGTGATCGCGCGCTTGACCGCATTTAGATGGAAAGTCCCCATCACTGCAACGGGCCGGCAAGTGCCTCTCGTGCTAGACGGAACTACGGTGCAACGTGGTCTCTACCAAGGGAACTCACTTAGCCATGCTGGTCATCGTGTGGTGTCCAGTTCTTCTCCCACCGATGCATGTGCTGTAACAATCAGATGTTCGCGTGGTCCAGCTTCGGAGCCGGTGTTCAAGTCTAGATTGCCATGACATTCAAACGGTGAGCACCACTAGCGAAATTGTTAGTGAACTTCTAATTGACCATTGATCGGAACCTATCTCAGTCGTGCGGGTCAAAACTCTCAATAAATCCACATGCATAGTACTTGGGTCTTTGCCAAGTTCAGTTTGAGAGCACTTGGGCAATTTACTGCTTACTAGGTCCAATTATACCCTGAGACTGCATCTGTCACCGAGTCTTGCGAAGCGAAGCGAGTAGCACATGTTTCAATCAAAAGTGCGATGCCCCCCGTGGCTATAAAAGGTCCTACCACCATGTCGTCGAGTGCCATCCTTGTCATCAGTGTTCAACATGATGTGGGCCCTTGCGTCCCTCCTGCTCGCAGGTCTTGTCCGAGCAGCTATCCCTAACGCCATGCTTCGCGGCATGCCTTCTCTCCCAAAGATCCCAGTGCCGGCTCGTTCTAACACTTCGCCGAATGGCACAGCACTCCCACCCATTACCACCGTCTATTACTTTGATCAGCTGATCGACCACAATAATCCAGACCTCGGGACCTTCCAGCAGCGATACTGGATGAACTGGGAGTTTTACGAGCCCGGTATGTCGTGAGTATTGAGGTACAACGTTAACCTGATCCATTGAAGGTGGTCCCATCGTCTTGATGACGCCTGGAGAAACTGACGCGGATGGTCAGTTTACCATCCTTGATTTGTGGCTTTCACTCAAGCACTTGGTTTCTAGGCTATGAGGGCTACCTTACCAATGAAACCATCAATGGCCTCATCGCTCAACAACAGAATGGTGCAGCCGTCCTTGTCGAGCACCGTTTCTTTGGCTACTCCAATCCATATGACAACCTCACGTCGCAATCTCTCGCCCTCCTCACCATCCAGCAGGCCATTGATGATCTCGATTATTTTGCCAATACCGCTGACCTTCCCATGCCTGGGGGCGATGCTGTGAAACCAGGTCAGGCGCCATGGATACTGATTGGAGGAAGCTACTCGGGGGCCCTCACGGGTTGGACGATGGTCAAGTAAGTATTTCACCAGAAGTGAATATCTCTTTCCGTTAATGATTCGCGTAAAGCAAACCGGGCCTTTTCTGGGCCGCATATGCATCTTCTGCGGTCGTAGAAGCAATCACGTATGTCATTTCTTTGAAATCACCGCTCGTGTCTCATTAATGTGATTGTTTCTCCGACCGTTATAACCATCTTAATACATCTGCATTGCAATATCTCACTGAAACGGGGTTTCATTCGGCCAAAACAGTGACTATTATGGGTATTTCACGCCTATTCGCGAGTACATGCCACAGAACTGTTCCTCTGATGTAGAGGCAGTGATTACCTACCTGGATGGGATGTACGTGGCTAACAACACAGCTGGAATCCAGACCCTCAAGGAGGCATTTGGCCTTGGCGATGTTGTACACGTAGATGATTTCGCCAGTGCACGTAAGTCGCCCTTGCCCTTCGTTCAGTCTTGAATCTTTGCGTGGAACGAGCATAATGGTCCGAAGGGCTTCTGGTCCACGCAACATATGTAGTTAATATTGCCTTCACTAGCGCGCGGAGTTCCTCTTCTACATGATTACCTTTTGCGACATTCTTTTTCTTTTATTGTTCCACTGCCTTCTTGACTTGACTGACTCTGCTCGGGCCAACAGTTCAATACAACCTGTTCGATTGGCAATCTCTGCAACCTGATGTCGGTCCAGGAGCAATGTTCTTCGATTTCTGTGATGCACTCGAGGTCAAGGACGGCGTCAGTGCCGGACCTGAAGGATGGGGTCTTGAAAACGCCATCTACTCTTGGGGCAACTTCTGGAATACAACCTACTACAACTATGGTAGGCGGTCCCCTTGATTTCCAATTGACGTGGCTAAAGTTGATAGTAAAGTCTGTGGATCCGAGGATGCTGAGTACGTATCCTTGGGATGTATTTGTCCAAATTGGCTGACTGTAAAGCTAGAACCTGTCTTGGGACGTATAACACGACCCAGTCCTACTATACTAACGTTACCATAAATAATGCTGAGAGGTCATGGTTTTGGATGGTGTATGTATTTATTCTCATCAGTTCGAATATCCACTCTGACAATGATTCCAGGTGCAATCAAGTCGGATGGTACCAGGTTGGCCCTCCTGAAGGCCAGCCAGCAATTGTGAGCCGCATCCTCCAACCCATTTACGAAGAGGTATGTACATTGTATTCGAGGTATAAGCATTCTTCAACATAATCTTCAGCGCCAATGCGTGGACATGTTTCCTCAAGCCTTCTCCTATCCACCTCTGCCAACCACTACACAGACCGACATGATGTATGACGGTTGGAACCTCGATGTTCCACGTCTCTTCTTCGCCAATGGCCTACGTGACCCTTGGCGCGAGGCAACTGTCTCTGCCGATGGGCTATATAAGGCCAATACTACCAGCATGCCGATCTATGAGGGCGATGGATTCCATTGCTCGGATCTGATCACGGAGAATGGCATTGTAGACCCGACCATCGCGGTCGTGCAGGCAGCAGGATTGATGTACATGAAGGAGTGGCTTGCTGAGTGGACGCCGTCCGCGTGATAATAGATTGAATCATCGGGACTCATGGTTAAACAAAGTTATTTATATTATAGTACTAACCTATGTTTGGGGAGAAGTGTCAATGTCAATATACAGTGCATTTCATTCCTCAAGGACGTTGCAGCCACTCCGTTTTCTCTGTATGTGATCAATCGTCAAAATGCAAAGACATTCCTCACACTCTGTTCCCTCAATGGCCCGGCACCAACTACCGACTACCTCAGGTGGGCGTTCATTAACGTTCATTCATGATTTTCCATCCATGTATAGCGGATAAGTATCAGCGTGCGGCATTCTTGACAATTAATTACACAAATTTCACACTAACTCCACATCGAACCGATATTAATATTTCTTCCCTGGAAGCTTCGACCATTTACGTGCAGCGGTCTGCATACGGGTGACACGGCCATCACCTCGAGGACCACTTCACTCCTATTACAACATGACCCACGAGTCAGGGAGCGTTGCAGATCGGCTCTGTACCTCGCCCTGGATCACGAGGGGAATGTAGAATCCGATATTTCCCTACTATCTGTTGATCCTAATCGAAACCACCCGCTTTTCGTTTCCAGTATTGACAAATCACAACGAGCTAAAGTTGCGTTATTGCGATTTTGTGGGACTTATATCGCTAATAGAATCACGACCATGTCGTCCTCTGGCCCTTGATACACCACCAGCGGGATAACGATCAACGTTGTCACTGTGTCTAGTTGTAAGACTACATGCAAATATTTGGCGACAGCGATTTGGTCAGAGGTAAGATTATACGAAACTTGCACGACACCCAGATGGACAATGATCCTGGGTGGATGTCACCCGATGCGTATGATGTTATTTACTACTGTACTTCATGCATAATAATAAATGGTTGGTCGCGTCCCAACTTCACTGGTGACTGGTACAATTACACAACTACATTAGAAACGCACACTGGTCATTCATCATATAGTAATCTGCCTGCAAGATATCGTGTATGAAGACTGTTGAGCTATTATATAGACTCTGAGCAAGAATTTTATACGTAGTTATACATAACAAATGCATCCAGATCAAATCTCGCTAACAGGCTGTGGTGTACCATGTCTCGCATTATGTCTGAAATCGATCATTCTCTGACGAACGAGGTTCCACCTTTGAGGCGTCATGTTGTGTGCGGGCAGGTGTTGAGGTGGGACTGCCAGTAGAGCATTTGGCCCCGCAAGGGGATCAAGTTCAGGAAGTATGTCGAAGAGGATGCGAGCGACCACCTCGGGATCGCCAATAGGCGAATCGATAAGCCTGGCATACTTGACCAGTCGATTACAAACACCACCGCCTGGACTATCGCCTTGCAGATCATCCAGTTTGGTAGCATCGAGCGCTAGGTCAAAGTAGTAAAGATTTGGGCATAGCTTCAAAAGCGAAATGAGGCCGTGGAAAGTAAGTTCAGCAGTTCGTGATCTGACAGGGAAGAAAAGGTCTGGCGGTGGAAATACTGGAAATACTGGAGGGGGAATGGTAAACGCGGGTGGATACAGAAATTGATTTGCCTGACCAGCGTTTGCCAGAGGTAGCGGCATAGGTATATGGTGGGGTATGGTGACAGTAACCACCTGAGGTTGAGGAGCTTGATTTGCCTGACCAAGACCCGTAGTAGTGATGGGTGGTAAAAGCAGTTGAGGATTGAGCTGTTGTAGCGGTGGAGGCGGGGGTGGAAGGGGAGGGGGAGTGTGAGTTGCTACACGTGGTCGTAAATCGATCAGCTCGAGTTCCTCGAGCAGTGGCCAAGCGTAAGCCATCGTTTCCAAATCGTCGTCACCGAGAGTGAATGGCGATGACATTCGTAGGGATAATGTATGAAGTTCACGACACACGAAGAGGGGTCGTAGAATCTCAGAGACATTTTCAGGATTATCTCCCAGAAGGAATGGGAGATTCAGGCTGAAATGTTGAAGTTCGTGGTACAATGCATCTCGACTGACGAGGCCCAAGAGGACCCCAACAATTTCCGGACTGCAAGTTCCTCTGCGGGACCGCCCCGCAAACACGTCAATCTTCAAAGATATAGGAAAGCTTTTCATCGCTTTCATAAGAGTGATAGCAGTGTCCAGTGTGTCGGTTTGGAACTGGAAAGTATGCAGCGATGGAAATGAAAGTGAGTCTGGAGGTAGGTCAATGACAGATGCGGTGTTAACTTGCAGACGGAGAATTCTGAGAGATTCCATCCCAGACAGGCGTAGAACACCTTCGAAGGTCATGGGGTTGCAGTCCAGCTCCTCTAGTTTGGGCCAGGAACCGATTACCCGAGATATGCAATGTGAGCTTTGAGTTAATTCTGAGTCTATATGTCCATCCCAAGAATGAACTTGCAGCGTCAGTGATTTGATTTTCGGGCAAAGTGCAGGAATTTTGGTCAGGGCAAATAGAGTGGATGCTGAGCTCCAGCGGTGACTGGGTATTTTCAGAGACAGCAAATGTGGACCGAGCAGATGACGAAGTAAATTGAGACCCATCCCAGGGGCCCAAGCTAAGTGCCTGAGGTTCGGTAGGAGGGGGGAGTTCAATGTATAATAGAGCAATGCGCCTAAATCCTCGGTGAGAGATGGGTAACCACCATTGCGTCTCAGGAACCTTTGTTGTCCGGAAAGGTCTAATTTGCGGACACGATGAGCATATTTGTCGAAGATAGAGAAATTTGGCCTCGTGTCATCGTTGGCTTCAATCGTGAGCTGTGAGATAGAATGTGATGATTCAGCTTGGAATATAGCAGACAAATGCAATAGACATACCTCATCGCTCGACGACAAAGTATTTGCTGCGTAAATACATGATGCTAGTGGACGCAAACTATCCAGTTCGCTCCACAGAACGTCCAGAGAGGCCTCGCTCAGGGCACTGCAGGTTCTGGCTAACATGGCAAAGCTACATCGACCCAATTGCCTATCTTCCTTGATAGAGGCGAAGATATGGGCTCGGACATCTGGAATGAGCAACGCATAATGCATGTCGATATCTGAGCCAGAATCAATAAATTTCAACGTTCACCGGTGAATACGAGAGCGTTAGGCCGTTGAACTTCTCAGGTACTATAGTAGCCGTTACTACTAGTACTTACGTACGAGCGGCTGCCTTTTCAACACATGAGCTTAATAATCACGCGAAAATAACCCTTCAAGTTATTGCAGAGTTAGGCTCCTTCCATTTTCCTACGCCTAGGGTACTTGAGCGATAATTGCTGCATCGAGTGACTTCAGCCTGCGCTTGCAAAACACTTTGCTATGCCTCGGATTCGTAAAAGTATGTAGTTAATCAACTCCATGAAATTACACTCATTCGTGATGTCGACACCGCGGAATAGAAACATCCAAGCGAGGGACGACGCACCAACGTGAAAAGTTGAAGCATAAGGTCTCGCAAGGCAGGAAGAAAGCTAAGAAACAGGTTCGGAAAGCACAGGCCGCTGGAACAAGTGAGTGCCGTGCATTGTCATAGGCGAACTTTTTTGAAACAATCGTCTTTGCATCTATATTTTTTTGCTGGGTTGTGTAACATTTATGTCCTTGTGCTCATAGTCTTTGTGTAGCCCAAAAGAAATCTAAAAAAGATCCCGGAATTCCGAACAATTTTCCCTACAAGGATCAAATACTCGCAGAAGTCGCAGAGTCACGACGTCAAGTAAGAGAGCACTAATCTGTTCGATGTCCCTCTTACTGACTTGATTGTACTACAGGCTGCAGAGGAGAAGCAGCAACGTAAGGCTGAAAAGCGCGCTGCTCTCACTGGACTCGACGTCGAAGATGTCGAAGATCCTGAAAAAAACATCAACATTGATGAAAATCAAAATGACGGCCAAGGCTTTGATGGCATTATGTCCATTCGTCCCGCACCTCCAGTGCCATCCATCAAGAAACCTGTAGAACCTTTGACTTCAGAACCTGCCATACCGATCACGCAAGGACCTGCCTCTCTTCGCGAGGTGTTGCAAAAAGCGGACGTTCTGCTCCATGTAGTGGATGCACGGGATCCTGCGGCAGGCCTTAGTGAGGCTTTGTTTAAAGAAGCGAGAGGCAAAGATATCATACTTCTCGTGAACAAGATCGGTAAGTTGTTCGTTATGTCTATGAATGGCATTTGATCGATTACATATAGATTGCGTACCACGAGAATCTCTAGCGTCATGGCTATCCTACTTACGACTAACGTATACCGCCCTGCCATTTCGCGTGGCAGAAGCTTTCTTACCATCCAAACCCAACCTGCCCCCGGTATCAAAGAAGATTTCTGTCAAATTAGACGATGCGCTTGGCTCGGACGCAGTTTGGCAGCAGCTCATCAAGGCCAACAAATCTGGTGAGGAGTTGGTTGTGGCCCTAACGGGAGTTACCAACGTAAGTTTCGTCGTTTGATGTTGCGTCGAATCGTTATTGATCAAATTGCTTCATCCAGTCCGGTAAATCTGCAGTCATCAATTCTCTCGCATGCGCAGATCTACTACCTATTTACAATCTCAATTCTACGATATCTACAAAAGGTCCTCATACAACAACATCAGCGAGCGAGCTAGTCTTGGAGTTTCCTGACAAAAAAGGGGTCAATGTGCGACTGATTGATACCCCAGGATTGGAATATGTCCGTACGGAGGATGTAGAAGAGCAGGAGAAAGAAATGGCAAGAGCAAGAGATATCCTGCTCCGAAGTCGAGGGCGGATTGATCGACTAAAAGACCCATTGTTTGCTGGTGAGTGTCGCCGAGCTGCTCCTCTACCCTGGATCTGACGTCATGAAAGTTGAGCACATTGTGTCTCGAGCAGATACCCAGGATTTGATGTTGGCATACAGTTTACCTGCCTTTTCGAAGGGCGACCCGACCTCATTCCTTGCTGGAATGGCACGTGCGAGCGGGCTTATAAAAAAGGTGCGTTTTCCGAGGATATTATTCAAGCGCACGCTGATCTGTGGTATGCAGCGTGGTGTCCTGGATCATGCGGGTGCGGCGCGCATTGTACTCAGAGATTGGAGCATTGGAAAGTTTGCGAGGTATACCATGCCACCGGGATCACCGACTACATCCTCTTCAACAAATAACGAAGGAATTCTGGCAATGCTGAAGAGCCGGAAAGAGCTACGGAAAGCGGAAGACGTGAAACTTGTACGGTTGCAGCCTGGAGAAGCAGAGAAGAGGGATGTGTTATTGGACGATGTGTGGGTTATTGATGAAGAAGTCGGCGAAAATGAGGACGATGATGAGGATGCCGGAAATGAAGAGGTAACCGGAGATGAGGACGGCGATGAAGACGGTGCCGATCAAGGCAGCGATTCCGAGAGTAGTGAGGAAGGGATTGTTGATGATGAGGATGAAGAGGAGGTGCCTGAACTGTTGCCCCCGCCCAAGCGAAAGCGAACAGTGTCCTTTGCTGTTGTTCCAAGTAAAGGGAAACGGCAGCGAAGGTTTGGCAAAAACGTGACACAATAGAGGGGTATGACGTATATCACATACTAAGTGTGTCGATCCAGAAGGTTTTGATTCTGACTTTCTTTACACGTTCCGCTATAGCCACGCTGTCTACATGAGGGATGGTGTTGGCCGACTGAGTTTATCGTGATTATATAGCCCTGCAGTTGATGACGGCGGTCAACACGCCCATTATGGCTCGTCCGACTTTTCTCCAGAAGGTACTCCGAAGACCTTCCCAGAAATATGCTACAGGCACAAGCCGCGCAGCATCAACTTCAAAAGCTTCTCAACCTCATGAGCAGCCCCACACAAGGGATTTCCATTCAACCAAGGGTGAATTGCTTCGTATAGCTTCCGAATTCAATCATGAAGATCTGCTTCACCACAATGATCATGAGCGCCGACGTTCTCCCCCAGATGAATCATGTGCGTTTATACAGGTGAGTTACGATTAAAACACACCGACATATATTAACATCTGTCCTTACTGAAGAACGGCCATATCCTTACCGCTGCGGCACCGCTGGACTCTGCAGGACACCCTCCCAGTGTCTCTATCGCCGCCGACGTCCATAGCGAGAAGCTACAGGCACCACGACAAGCAACAGTTTTGGAGCTCCACGCTTCTGTAGATCAATCTATAGATCTCTCTCAGCCCGACTCTGAAGAGGTGTTCTACACCCCTCCAAGTTCCCCTATATCCTCCCCTCCAGCCTCTTGCTCGCAGACTCCAGCTCATACCCCATATTCGACACCCCTTCACTCTGCTGCATCGTCTGTCGCCTCTTTAGGGTCTGATAATCCACAGCCCATATCTATTTCGACAACATCCTTGATCGAATCTTCTATGAACACCACAGTCACCATGTATCCCGTCAAGAACGAGCCTGGGCGTCATAAACGTATTCCCAACCACCGTAAGGTAACTTATACGGACCAAGATTGGGCCAAAGACGTTCGGTGGCTTGAGGCCTCGCAACATAACGGGACTAGATGCAAGGATGTCGGACGCAATACTTCGTCGAGCAGTGTTTCAAATGCAGCATCACGCTCTGCCTCATCTCTACCGAGCACTGATGTGCCTTCTCAGCTGCATAACCTTCCGAAAGTTGAACCTCCATTTCCTCGTGGACGAAGGCCAAAAGGTCATGGGCACATGAAACCAAAACAAATGCGTGCGATGGTTGGCATGTCGGTTCTTCTTGAAGTGGAGGAGGACGCCTACCTGTGTGGTAACCCTGCTGGAGTGGATAGAAGTATGCCTCACAAGCGCTCGCAGTCTTTGACACATATCCCAACACATACTCCCCAACCACCGAGACCGGTACGACAGAAGCCATCTGCGACTTCATCGCAGCAAGCACCAAGGAAGTTGGTCAGACGTCGTAGTTCGTCTTATCCTTCGTTGTCTCGCGATGGCAAGCCATCTCGGTCGTCATCAACGCGCTTAAACTCTCATGCGACTGGTGTAATCTCACAATCCGGCGTGCCTGGTTCTGCATCATCTCTCAGCGTCGCGTCGCGCCCAATGAGCAGCGCTTCTCACGTGACTTCTTCAACCACGAAATCTCCCTATACATCGGCGCCATTAAATGCCCTGGACGCCCTTGCTGCGCACGCGTCATCTTCATGCGAGGCAGACGCACTTCCATCAAGTGGTACCCGTGGCTTCACCAGCCTTGTTCTTCCTCGTGCGCCCACTTCTACGCCCACCTCTGGATCGAACTCTGGTATCGGTTCTTGGCGCCCCTGGAAATCAGGTAGAAGGGCAACAGCTGCAGAAAGTCTGGGCGCAGGACTCGGGTTCGGAGATAAGGTTGATCTTACACGAGCTGGACTTGCACAGACTACGATGGCCAGCGTGGAGATTATTCGTGGAATCGCGTCTGGTGATGCCGAATACCAGGAATCGAAGTCTTCTGTGTCGTCGTTTGGCTTGGGCTGGTTCTCAAAGGATCATATCAAGCAAGGGAAGGTCAAATCTCGACAGGTCCCTGCAGAGAGTCCGCTCGGGTTCACAGTCTATCGAAAACCTCCGGTTTATGTTGGCGGAAGTTCAGTGCTAGTGCAAGTATGGGCTGTGGGGCTGGACGATGTGGATGCCCGTCTTGTGGGTATGCACCCGCCGCCATCGAAGCAACCCTCGCCGGGGACTCCTCACAGGACCGAGGAGAAAAGTGATGGGAAAAGGCCCGTTCCACTAGGTTATATTCCAGGACGGTCTTTTGTTGGGCGTATCCTCGAAGTGGGATGGGATGTTGATAATCACTCTCTCAAGAAGGGAGACTGGGTCATCGGTCTCAACAGCGTGCAGAAGGTTGGTTTGTATTACATTGACACGAGATTTGATACAAATATGCTGATTTATTTCTAAGTGTGGTGCTTTGACCGAATTCATTCTCGTTGACCGACATCGCATTCATTGCGTGCCACATCCTAACATGCCTGATCAACCATCTCTGGTTCTCTCCTCGTTGAGCGAGGATGACAAGGTGGGGCAGCGCAATTCGCTTGTGTTTCCTGCCGTGAATGAACCCAACGGTCTCACAGTGGACGAGCTCGCTCTGCTCCCGCTTTCAGGCGTTCCTGCTTATCGCGCTGTACGCACATTGACACACATCACACGTGCATTAGTACAGCCTGACGTAGCTGCATGGCGGCCACACAGAAACGGGCATAGTCGTGAAGTTACCAGCGACACTGATGAAGACGATGTTGTCATCATGCGTTCCATTAAACATGGCTCAGCAGAAAAGCGGGTCGATATGACGCGTCCTCGCATATTAATTTTACGTGGGCACGACGGGCCCGGTGCGCTAGCTCTTCAGATGCTTGTTCGCGCTGGGTGGTCTGTCTGGGCTCATGTACCTGTACCATTTGACCTTCCCGGTCTTCCTCACGAGTTCGAAGAGGATCTTCAAGACGAAGACAAGAAGCGTACGTTGGCAATACGACGAGTTATGCTGGAACGAATTGAGAAACGGCTCCGTGGGTGGGGTGCAGACGAAGTTTTATTTGTTCCCATCGAGTCAAACTCCACATCCGGGTCAACTCCACGAGACGACGCTTCTTCTTCATCGGCGTCCCTGCACCATCCACAGTCTTCTTCTTCTTCCGCTCATTCACATAACATACTACCCTCACCATTTTCACGCTCCTCGACGTCGTCGACATTGTCCTCACCATACTCACCCTCCACACATGGTCATACTTCCTCTACATCTCATTCTTGTGGTGCACTCCCTGCTCCATATTCCTATACTGGACTTCGTCTCACTCCATATCAGACTGAAAAAACCTCGGCGACAGCACTTTTCACCTACTTGACGCAATCGCGCGTTCGTTTTGATGCGGTCATCGATACGATTGGGGGTCGTGAGATTTGGGAGGCCGGGCGGACATTACTCAGCCTTCCAGTTCACGATGCCGCGCGAACCAACATTGAAGGCCAGTTTACCACACTGGTAGGGGACGCACCCGACCGTGTAGTGTCTACCGCAAGCGATCATTTCCGTGCGGGCGTACGAGCGCTTCGCATCGGAAACTCCAAAGGTACATTGCAAGTCCACGATGATGCCGAGTTTCCTCAGCCATCCGTCGCGCCCACCAGGGGCAAGAGGGACAGAAGAAAGATGAAGCCTCGGCCGGTGAACTACGCGTGGGTGAACGTCATGTCGGACGTGGATTGGGAAGGTGCGGATGTGCGGGATTCGTTAAGCGCAACGCTGGCGATGGCAGTAAAGGAAGGCGTGCGGCCTGCCGTTGGTCTTTCTGACTTTCCGGACTTGTCGAAAAAGGGCAAAGAGAGGATGAAGAACAAGTTTGGCGGTGGTGACGGGGAGACTCTGGGAAAAGTCATCCCGTTCGAGAATACGCCGCAAGTTTTCATTGCTGGAGGTGGGCTTGAGCATGGTGGGACAGTTGTGTCTAGAATAGCTGGGTGACCGATATCTGCGGCTTCCGTCCCCGATGGATTCATTATCTTATGTAAAAGATGTACATTCATATTTATGATATTTATTATTTAGGGATCTGCGTCTGATGGTACAGTGTCTAATGATATGCGCGGTGGATTGGGGGCGACTGCGGTTTCGATTGTTGGAATTGCCTTGGTAATCGGGGAACAAAAAATCAAATGTCAAATTTTGAGGCGATGTACGAGATGCGTCAAGCCCACCCATGGTACATATGTTACGATGCGTGATATTTAATTACATTGATGAGTTCACATCACGGTGCCTGGTTCATTGTGATCCGATACAGGAGACTTCGAGGCGTCTTGCGCCACCAGAGTCAAGTACACCGGGACGCAGGGGCAAGGACAGGCGTACTCGTAGAAAGTGACTCAGAGATCGGGACGGTCGGTCTACTACTAGTAGGATGGGCGTACTTGTGCAAAAGTGAGGCGTCAGGGCTGAGTCATCCCCGATTGATATTTGCCAGGCTCATAATTGTCCTCTTTCACTGGTCTACTGCCATGGCTATGTCACGGAGTGGTGACCTAGCTCACCCACTTGAGTTGGCTGACTTGCGACAGAACATTTTTGGCTCTGTCGCCGTGCCTCTCTGAGAATGAGACACTCATTTCTCCATCAATCTTGATCTTTCAACTTCGTACTAGTACTAGTTTGAAACAACTGTGGTCGTCAACTAGTAGTAGATATAGAAATGTGTGAGATCATATTGCAAACTGGTGACCGAGTTTGAAAGTGATCTGACTCTGATTGAACGGTAGTAGCGACCGATCATACAATGCACATCATCATGAAGTGGTCGACTCAGCTTCAGCTAAACATCCGCCCTAGGGCCTCAGCAGTTTCAGCACCCTCGCAGGTCACCATAACAAATTAAACTAAGTCCAACACATAGTACTAGCTACCAAACAGGGCTCAGCATGAGGCCTTGAGGCTGTAGCTGGCTTGATTTTGAACGTTTCCGCTGGAACGGCTGCGACTGTGGCACAGGCTGTGAATCAAGTGACCAATGCATGAGAACTATACGGAGTGCTGAAACCACTCAGAGTTCTGCATCACTCACCATGCCATTTTCGTCGAACATTGCCACCAGGACTCCACTCCGAGTTCGAGCCATGGCAGTGCATCATCTGCGTCGATCCTTTCTTTTTGAGGGAATTCAATTACACCGTTAGTTTGGTTCAGGAACGTCCCCGCCGAGCTACGGCACCGTTTTACACTGATAACACACGTCGCGCCATAAAGGATGCCATATATATAGCGCGGATCGTAAAAAAATACTAGTACTCGTAGTACAGGTAAGTGTGGAATGGCTGACTAGCTATAGCCTTGACAATGTCGATCTTTTCTTTTTGAGGGAGTTCAAGATAAGACTGTTCCTCCTCTAAAATAATTGCTAATTCTCAATTGCAATAAACATCAACCTGAGCTCGCTGTTGAGGACGGCAACTTGAAGCTCAATTATTCACTCACTAGTCAGTATGTTTCTGTCTGAAGAAACTTAAGATACATATATACATCATGAGATATCCTGAACATGAAGGTGCGTTAAATTTATCTCAGGGCGGTACAACAGCATACTAAGAGTAGTCCTACTAGGTAGCAGGCGATCCCATTCAGCAAGGAACTCGTACCGCCACGAATGCCGCTGCCGGCACATAATTGGTGAAGATGAAAAATGCCATCACCTCATCACAATGTTTAAATACTCTGGGGTTAGAAGGCTAGCGTCGCAACTCTCAAATCACCGTAGTTTTCTACTTACACACTTTTATTCCTCTGGTGCGTTGGGCACCTGTCTCCATAGAGCATTGCTAACCTGCAGCACAGCAGTCCGTCCCTGTGACAATCGTCCACGAGCTCCCGGGCTTCCACCAGACAACTCACCAGCATCTTAGACATGTCTCTCGATATCATTCCCATCACGGTGGATGCGGAGACCGTGCTTCGAATAGAGCAAAGTGGTCAACCACTCGTTGTGTATGACTGTAAATTACAGGGTGCGCCCTGTAGAATGTGCGTGGAGGGAACCACCAGTGCAGTGTCTGCCCACCTACGTAGACACGGCATCACTGGTCCGGACAGCGCCATTACAACTTGTACATGGGACGGCTGCTACAAGACACTCAAGAAAGGGAGTATGGCAAGACACATCCTTACTCACCTCCGTGTCAAGGTGCGCTGCTCCGTGTGCGGAATCGTGAAGTGTCGTTACGACCTTTTTCGTGAACATGTGAAATCCCCAGGGCCATGCCATCTGGCAATCGCCGATACCGTTCCCGGACCTGGAGGACTTGTTATATCCCCTATGAGTTGGGTTGCTGATCCGGTATGTGATTTGATCTGTTTTATGACCGGCACTGTTTACACGTGTTGCATTTTTTCAACTAGGGAGTCTAGCTATATTCGCTAGGAAGCCCGCTTGAAGAAGAATGAACTGACACGGTTGTAAGATAAGGGGACCTTGTACGCTGCATGGTGGTGACATTCCTAAATGGAGGGTTAATTAGTTGTTTGTAGTTGTATATTTAATAGTAGTGAGATTTTTGCACGTACAAAGAAATCATCCAGCGTGGCTAGCTGCCACGTCGGTGATAGAGGACATTGTTTCCTATGTCATTTCACAACCACTGCGCCAACAGCCTATCCTAAAGCGAGGATTGACCATTGAAAGCGGTGTATTCTGATGGTCAATGATAACCCAAATCCGGCGTAGTGACGAAACATTTCGCTGCGATGAGTTCGTGAGATTGACGACCGTGACAAGCGCTGGGTTCATTATGCGCCTTTGATGGTGATTGCTTCTTGATCGAAGAATCACATCCATGCCAAGTCTCCTGATAGAGCAATCACTAGTGTTAGAATGTGTCATTCAAGACGAGTAAGTTCGCTCAGCCTGGTTTGTGAAGCCCTGCCGACATTGATCTGTCACTGGCAGCATGACTGTTGTGGATGTCCAATCTTGTAATCGTAATCAGCGACTTGGCGGCGGGCACTCTTCACGGAAACAAAAGTTAATAACATATTCGAGTGATACGGAAAGCAGAATACGTAGATATATGCAAACAGTCGAGGCTGCAATATTTTTAAACTTGATATCTGTCAGAAATTTTTAGTGAACGTGAGAACCGTGTCTTGTTTTCTTCAAGATAGGTCATCGACGAGAATATTATGATCAATGAGGATCTCGATTGGATAGATATATGCGAGCTCTGTCGTACTTTGAACGTTAACGATAGGTTCGTCGCCATCGTGGCAGGTACTTTCTTGCGTGTTCCAAGATTCGTGCGATTTTCAGAGAAGTTTGCAAATGAGCGGATGCGGATCTGTCTGGAATACTAGAACCTTGAGCTTACATAAAATCAATAAAATATGCTGCCACTGCGAAGCAGAACTGTGAACCAAAAGCGGAGGAGCCACGTCTGGCAGGCAAAGGTGGTTGAAGAGTCCAGTGCGGAGCGAGATGCGGATGGAAATTTCTGGGGATAGTCTGCGTGGGTAGAGCCGCGAGTAGTAGTTGATAATGTGGCTTCGTTGAGCTGTCGAAGCTTTTTGAGCGGCGAGCATGTTGCTGAGCGTCACCCAGCGAGATTCTAAAGGGCTGCAAATTTATCACCTTGGGACTGTCAAATTTCCAGTCCAAACTGGCTGGAGCGCTGAGCGCTGAACGGCCCATGGTATTGCTTCTTGATTGAATAACACTATACAGTTGAAATAGTCATGATGCATATGATAAAAATTTGTGAAATTATTCAAAAGTAATAGTTCACGAGTTTATGCTCTGATGACCGCTTCGACTGTATGGGTGAACATCATGTCGGACGTGGATTGGGAAGGTACGGATGTGGGGGACTCGTTGATGGAAGCTGTGCGGCCTGTTGGTCTTTCTGACTTTCCGGACTTGTCGAAAAAGAGCAAAGAGAGAATGAAGAACAAGTTTGGCGGTGGTGATGAAGAGACTCTAGTAAATGTCATCTCGTTCGAGAATACGGCTGAGTTTTCATTGGGCTTGTATCGAGAATAGCTGGGGTGATCGGCTTCTGTCCCGGGTGTCGATTGCCTGGACGCATCAGTCAATCAGAAATGAGACATTATACTCGGCCATCGCGTTCAGTACTTACATAACTATATACGACACCGCACTAATAATACTCGGTTTAGCTATGCAAACGTTAAAGCCGTTCATGTCAACATTGGATTGCGATTGCGATTGCTTAGGACTCTTGCATCTTGTAGCATTAGTACAAGCTTGTTCCTGGACCCGACTTAGGGTACATGAAGTTGAACGCGTTGGCATACATTTTGGATCGCAATCGTTTTTTAGTTTGCCGCACTGGTTCGAAAAATAACGAGTCCAGGGGTGCCCGGAGGGTTGTTGTATTGGGAGATGCCGAATTTTGAATTTCATAAATGTCACATGTTACCGGCCCGTTGTAGGACCCCTGATAATGCCTGGTTGGCGGAGGCCCGAACCTGCCCGAACTTGTCCGGATGGATTCTGACTTTTTTTGACTGATTTTGTCCAGATCCCGTCCTGGCCGAACCGTTCGTCCTCCCAGGAGCGCCGCCCAATCCAGCCTGGCCTACTCGTTTGCGGAATAGTTTGGCCGCTTGGATAAGTTGAGGTGCAAGCATGATGCAGCATTTCGAACGCGGAGACGTCAGCTGGCGCAAGTTCAAGACCTGTAGGCGTCACCTTAGTAGGTGCAGAGGTGAGGAGTCAAAGAAAAGCTGTGGAAGGAAGGCAAATTGACGGCATTGAAAGATAGCAGTCGGAGTAAAAAAACGTTGATGATATTATTTGGATTGCGTGCCAGCCGCTACCTTTCAAATTTCAAGGTGTGTTGGAGTATGTAAAACGCTTGATTCGAACTCAAGCTCCATCTCTCGGACGTGACACAACATACTAGTACCATCCCGACCTACCACTGCCATACCTCATCCTTCCGACATGACGACCATATCCGGATGGCAACCTGGTTCCCCAAACCTCCTCTCTGATGATTCTCCCAGGTTGACCCCAAAATCTGACCTCGGATGTTCGGATTGTAACCTGGGACAAATGACCTTTTGGCCAATTTCTGTCCGGATCGCTGACTGGGTTCCATAGGCATTATCAGGGGTTCCCCCGTTGTGTGTGGTGACGGAGTTTCAAATCGCACAGACCCACCTCGCTGAATGCCGAGGCAGTTTATCCGCGCGGTTGGCAATATTGTGCCTGCCTCTGGCAGACAAAGGCCATCCGGATATTTTCGTTAGTGTGTGGGACGAGGTGTCCACTGACCCAGTTGTTCGAAAGGGGACGACATGACTCAGTGCTCATCGGTCCACGTGGATCTGACAGCGTTGGCAGTGATCCCGTCTTTGTTTCTTCGTAGGCGGATGTCGACGATTTTTATATGCACTGCAATGATAGTGCGTCTTCCACTGCAATTGGTACCCCACAGAAGTCGGCACTTTCACAAAACTCGTATTTCTAGCTACTTGAACGCATAATTCTTACAACATAGATATCATCTCCCTCATTACGAAGTTGAACGATCATGATGAAAATGCCGAACTCACATCGCATGCCGTTGTGTGTGGTGGCGGAGTTTCGTTTCAAATTTCAAATCGACCGCTACAGCCTCGAAAAACCAGGATGCCAGGAATGCCATACAAGGATGTGCAGCGATTCTATTATAACCGCCAATAATTCGCTTGTTTGTTGGACATGGCAGGGAGTAATTCGGTGACCTTTAAAATGCCCCTGGATTAAGAAGCGAGCTTGGATTAAGCCCTGATCAATACTGTGATTCCTCTCTACGGTACTATACCTGCAATTTCACTCTTCACCCCTTTGGTGCGTCTGATATTCGTCTCGCAAAGAACAGCGCTGATCCATTGCACATATAGCATATCCTTTCATCCTTTCGACATCTTTATGGCTCTCAACATCTTGAACGTGGATCCACAGACCTTTCATCGAGTAGAACAATGCGGTCATCCACTCGTTGTATACGAGTGTAGACTAGGGGCAGTCCCCTGCGGGATGTTTGTGGAGGGAACAACCACCGCAGTGTCCGCCCATCTGCGAGAACACAGCATCCCTGGCCCGGACAACGCCAGTACAAGTTGTCCGTGGGCTGGTTGCTCCAAGACACTCAAGAGGGGAGGCATGGCAAGACACATCCTTACTCACCTTGGTGTCAAGGTGTGCTGCTCCGTGTGTGGAGTCGTAAAATGCCGCCTCGACCTCCTTCGTGCGCATATCAGATCCTCAGAGTTGTGTCGTTTCGCACATGCTAATGTTGTCTATGGACCTGAAGGTCGTTTTCTTGTCCCTACGAGTTGGAGTGTTACTGCTGCCCATCATATCCAATGACTTTTGATATATCACTTTCATACATTTTTTGACGGACGCCGCTTTGTCCTAATTAGTACTTTTTATATACAAGGCTTCGCCCCGCTCACCTTCGGATGTTCTTTTCCTCTTCTTCTCTTGAGAATAGCGTTTGAATGTCTCAGTGACGTCATACTCTTGAAAAATGTGGTGTATTAGTATTGTCCGTGTGCAAACGCGCAGGTCAAGCATGGCTTTCTCAAGCGTCAGCCTTGACATTCGTTGAATATCAATGTCAGGTCGCAGGGAAAACTGTTTGTGATTGACGGTCCAGCTTGAACGCGCTGTATAAAAGGTGATGCGAGGCAGGCAATGATGAACCCCCAAGAATCCGCGTAGTTAAAAGAAAAATGAATTGCAATGCTGTGGAGCTCAGAAGACAAAAGTACAATTGCAAGAGCAGTAGAGACAGGGAGATAAGCGAATAACGCACACAAATAAGAGCACACACAGATAGTGCTAGTGAGCTTAAGGAGCTCAGGTGGAGCACGCACATGGGTAGATACAAATTGCTTCTGCTGGATCAAACGTTGCGTGCTTATAACATTTTAGACACAGCGAGGAAGTGTGTCATACGTACTCCATGAGGAAACTTTGAATCGGAGTTCAAGATCAGCTGCCGCGGTCCGCAATGGCGAAATATATGCAGTCTTACTCTACGATGCTATTCCAGTTCTTGAGTGTTCGCGTCAACGCCATATGCATAGGTGATTAACCAGCGGAGGTAGTGCATTCTGATAATCGATAATAACTCGAATCCGACGTAGTGACCAAACTTTTCGCTACGACGAGTTCGTGAGATTCCCGACAACGAAGCGCTGAGTTTTATCAAACGCCTGCGCAAAATGCACTTGGTAATTGCTTCTTGATTGACAACGCCATACATGCCAAGCCCCCTGATTGAGCATTAATGTCAGAACGAACCATTCAAAATGAGTGGACGTAAGTTTCGCTCAGCCTGGTTTGTGAAGCCTTCCACAAGCCTGTCAACACTCCCTTGGCTGCATATGCTGAGTGGCTACTTGCAGTATTGTTGTGCCTGACCTTTCTTGCAATCGCAATCGGGGACTTGACACTCTTCATGGAATCGAAAGTTGATAGTGTAGAACAAAGTAGTAGAGCGATATGAAATGCGGAACGGATACAGGCAAACAGTCGAGGATGAAATGAACTTTGAACTTGGTTTTCTGTCTGAAATAGCGAACGCGGAAACCATGTCTTGCTTTCTTCAAGATAGGGAAGTAACGAGAACATTGTCAACTTGAGGCTTGCTGGAGGATGACCGCCATGAACCTCTTCAATCACTTGTGCCTGTACGAACGAGACCTCTTGTCCATGCTTTCGCCCATCGATAACTGAAACAAGAGAGCACAACTTGCACACCTTCAAGATGGTTTCCGCTGACAGATGAACCATCACCAACGACTACCGTTTTCAGCCTGGTTAGAAGAGCTTGTCGCACCAGTGCCTGAAGGCCCATCAAAATCCTTGCGAGGGCTACTACCCCTAGGAGGACTCCTGGAGTAGCTCCCTCGCCTTCTGTAATCAGGTGAGTAACGACGAGGGCTGCGACGATCGCGCCAATCACGGCTGTCGCGACCGTAAGGGTCCCTGTCTTTATCGCGATCGGAACGGCGGTGATCGCGGTCACGATATGAGTCACGGTAGGAGTCGCGGTGGTACGAATCGCGCCCTGAGCCTGAGTAAGTGTCCCTAGTCGAACGACGATGCCCCATATATTCGCCGGGGGTTGGTGCGTGCGGTCTGTCAGTGACAGAATAGTCGACCCGAATACGACGTCCATTCAGTTCCTATGAAGGATATTAGCAAGGAAGGTATACACATGAGGAGAAAAACGTACGACTCCGTTGAGTTCCTGAATGCAGCGAGTAGCTTCTTCAGTGCTGGACATTCTGATAAAGCCGAAACCACGAGAGCGGTCGGACTGAAAAACACGTTTTTGTGGGTTAGGGTAACGAAATGCACAGCAAACCACCGCACCCTCTGATCGTACACAATCGTTACTTTTTCTACTCTTCCAAAGCGAGAGAACTCTTCGTCCAAATCCCGCTCTTGTGTCCTAATGCTTAATCCAAAGACCCCCAAAACTTGGGAGGGGTTGGGCGCCTTCTTTGCCCCATTAGCGCCTTGCAAAACATGAGGAGCACATGTGGAACGTACAATTGGTGCATGTGTTGGCTTTTTAGGAGGCGGAGACCTGCGCTTTTGAGTAGGACTACGGTAACCGGTGCTGCGGGCTCCAGGACTTCTCGAACGAGAACGACCGCGTGGCGGGGCGGCGTCCCGGTCTCTGGGTTCTGATGTAGCAGTGGGTGCAGGTGCATTGTAGGCATCTGAGTAAGGGTCCACTGAAGGAGCAGTTGGTTCTCCGTATTGATCCTACAGGAAAACAAAAAAGTTAGAAAAAGTTGGCTTGGGCGCCGAAAATGCGACACACCATGGCAGTTGAAGTTGAAGAAAAATTTGGCGTTGTTTGTTTGTTGTTTGTCTCAGATGCAAATATTCAATTTCATCTTCCGCGAAATGCCGAAAATCAAACCTTATCTGCTTGTTCTGCACAGTTCCTCAAGCCTCCGTTGTTGTCTGTACACCGTCCCCGAACAGTGCAAATCGGCAAGATCAAGATGGTGAGCTCGTGGTCCCAAACAACACCTGGAGATTATACTGAAATGTGCATCTTACTAGGGCATCGACATCAAGAAACACCACGTCAAGAAGGCCCAGCGGACGGCCCCCAAAAGCGAGGATCCTTACCTCCTTTTGCTCGTCAAAGTATGTATGTTTAGTATGTGCAAAGACTCAATCTAAATGCTTTTCAGCTCTACAGATTTTTGGCCCGCCGCACAGACTCGGATTTCAACAAGGTTGAATAAATTTACGAGTGGTTCAGGCGTTTGACTGAAGCATGATTTTTACTCAGGCTATCCTCCACCGCCTCTTCCTCTCCAAAATCAACCGTCCTCCCCTCTCTTTGTCAAGAATTGTTAAAGAAACCGCTGCCACTTCTGATCGTGACTCAAAAGTTATCGTGGTCGTTGGCACTGTAACCGATGACGTTCGTCTCGTCGAAGTACCCAAACTTTCAGTTGCTGCTCTACGCTTCACGCGCGCAGCAAAGGAGCGCATTCTCAATGCTGGTGGTGAGGCATTGACGCTGGATCAGCTCGCACTTCGCGCACCAACAGGGTCCAACACTGTGTTGCTCCGGGGAAAGAGGAACACTCGCGAGGCTGTCAAGCACTTTGGCATGGGTCCCCACAAGAACAAGAAGCCTTACACCATCTCCAAGGGTCGCAAAGTGCGTGTCGATCATTACTTTAAAGGTGTTTATATCTAACGCATTTTCCTCAGTTCGAGCGGGCCCGTGGTCGCCGAAAGTCTCGTGGCTTCAAAGTATAAGAAGCTCACAAAATATTCATTGGTGGCAGCATGGAAGGCGTCGCAATCTCTGTGTGGTCACATATGCATTATGGGTATACTACAAACCATCATTTCTCCATCTTTTGAGCCCTGTATGCCCCCCACCCTTATGCATTGCTTATGTTCGAGCGCGCGTCTCTACTGGGAATGCCCTACTTGAGAAATGCTATATTTAGGGCTGAAATATGATCTAGAAGTTCGAGACGGTATACAAGATCTTGATTGAACAGGTATCAATTGTCGGAGCCCGTCTAGATAAGTATGCAAGCTCGGCCTACTCTTTCATCCTGTGCTGCAATTCCTTCAGCTCCTCTGCCATATCATCTAGAGGTGGTGGCATGACATGAGATTCCGGCGTCACGGCCTTCTCGGCAACTTTTCCTTCCTTCTTCTGTAGAGCTTTCAAGAACGTGGAGCCACCAAGCCAGAAGAAAGCGAGTGTCGAGCCAATCATCCAAAAGCCGTACCAATGGAGCCGACGCCAAGCCTCGATAGAATCAGTAAAGTTTAGCAGCATAAACGGCGCTGCCACGTAGTTGAGAATGAGGATGCTGACGAAAGTTCCGGTCAAATCGTAAATGCGTTTCGTGATTGTTGTGGGTGCTCCCGGAGGAGGGAGGACGAATGGACGTAGGTTGGCACGGCAGAGACGGCCTGCGGTAGTGATGAATCCACCGAAGAAGAAAGTCAGGTAGTAGCCTGTCGCAATGCCATGCTACAACAAAATCAGCACAACTCATGCATAGCATAACTAAGCACCTACCCAGAAGGCGCTCGTCGCAAAAGTCAACATGCTGCTGCGGAAGCCAGGCTTCTTCCCTTTGGGGGTTACACGTTTGTATATACATTCCCTGAGCCAGATGTTCGTGTTGATGTTCCATGAATCAAGCAAAACCTTGAAGTTCGAAGGCAGCTCAATCTCGAGGACTTTGACGTTGGCGGCACCTTCCCATGTGGATTCGCCTGAAGGGCCATACCCAGTAAACCCTAAACCTGTCAGAATACTTGCACCCTAGTCGCCTGCGTTAGCATCACGTCTACGACAGGACACGAACCGCACCTCTGTGAGCGTCCAGATCGCATAGTACTTAGACCGCTCGATGAAACCGGAAAGCTGGAAATATACCATCCTGCATCCAAAAACGTCAGAAAAGTATTCGATCGAACGTATTGAGACGGACCTATGGAGAAATCCTTGGGTCATAAACCACGGGGTGATCACGATGGCGTAGTAGAATGAGGGACTCAAAACCACAAAGATTCCCAAGAAGACCAAACCAGTTAACATCTTGCGATATGCGACTCGCTTTCTGCCGTCCGGAATGGACCTTGTTGAACTAGGACTGCGCTTGCCTTCGAAGAGTGATTCATCGATCAAGGAGATGTATGACGCGTAGTCAAGATATGGCCCGACTAGAACACCCGGGAAATAAAAGCTACACAAAAATCCGTCAACCGGAGACAAAACATATCAAACAAGACTCACGAATAACCAAGAAACTCGAGTAGTGTGGGATATTTCGTGACGCGTTTCTGTAATTGCCATTTGTCTAGATTCTAAATTTGTGCAACTAAGTTTTAAGAGATTTTTAGCGTGCAGGAGGGGCTTACTTCAGGGGCCGTTCTACCATCCCAGACATTCCATGCAAAAGTCGTGAGTTTCATAGTCAGCACCATTTGAGGCCCTGTAACCTCGAAGGTTTCATAGCTTAGGTTGTAAAATGCTCGTATGACGTGGCTTGAAATGGGGATATATCAGCCTCCCGTGCAAACGCGTCTTACTTGTATATCCCTTACTTGACTGTGAGATGACCCATGACGAAACTGCAGAAAGTCTAGTGAGCAGGTATTTCCAGAGTTAAGAGGGTAAACATACGCGAAAACTATCCACGGCATGTTGGAGCCTTTTACATTAGCCGCAATGTAATACGTTCCAAGAACACTCCCTAATAGCTGGACAAAGCCCCATGACAGGTTTAAAACTGGTATGAAAAAGAAAACCGAGACCAGTAGATTGAAGAGATGCTTGAGATTGGGCTGAGATGCTGGTATACGGATGAAGAGACTTCCTAGGGGGCATGCTATTAGTAGACACGAGATGAGCTGATAATTTTTTTAGCCCTAGTATATGCATGTCGCAAGATTGCTCCCAACCTTGATCTGGTCCACGGATGCACCGATGGCAGATGCGAGAGGGACAAATAACGCATCCATGACTAGCAGGTCACAAGCTGGAATGACAACCAAGGACAACCAAGCAAGAACCGTTGACCAGCACTAGCTTTTTGAGGTATGTATATAACAGAGTAACCCAAAAGTGGCGTCCTTCCTATAAGTACTGCACGTATTCCCACGCCAATGTCCGGTGCTGAAGATTAATATGGCTGCTACTACTACTACTACTAGCTAGTCTACGCACAATCAAGTTGAACAAACGTATTTACAACCGAATGGACCATAGGGTTGAGAGTTTATCAACGATTTTCAATTATCCCCTATCGACGTATCCAACAAAGCTTTCAAACGCCCACTATCAGTGTGAAAGAGTGATGACTTTTCTGTTGTATCTTCTGCCGACGTGGAGTATCTCTCGTGAAAATGACCGGCCTCTAGCTGAGACATGTTCGATTCTGTCCTGCCCAAATAGCGGGAGTGAAGAGAAAAAATGAATGTTGTGAACTAGCCGAAGGAACGAGTGGATTACGCTTGGTGTTAGCAACACCGTCGTACTCGATAAGACGTTGTCGAAGACAACACACTAGAACGAAGCGAGCATGAGTAAGGCACAACAATTACGACAGAAACTCCACATGAACTTTGATTCGAAGCGTATTTGTAAATTGGCCCAGTGAACGTTATCCGCGTTCTGGAGAGATGTACGACTGTTATGGTGTTGCATCACCATGAAGGGCTTCAACTTGAAGGAGACGCGGCTTACTGCGAGAAACCGCGAAGAGTATCGAAGTATCGATAAATTGTTTGAAGGTAGTGTATTGGTTGCCGATACATGGGAACCCAACTGGACAGGTGTCGAACCTAGAGAGCATATAATCAGGATATCACAGACCTGACGTCGCTGTGTAGAATTGTCCAGGTACTGAATACAAAACAAAGAGTTTCCTGTGCAGTTATCACGATACAGGGGAGAACTTTAGCTAAACATTTCGACTTCCACAACCAGACAACTATAAACGAAAGGAATGTTATGAGACTGTAAACAAGTCAGTTCGGTGAAAGATGACTTTGATATATGACTGTCAGTAAATGCATGGGAAGATTGCACAGACTTTGTATCAAGGGTCTATATACTGAAAAATGGCGAACCTGCCACATTTACCGATAGGCTGGCTGTGAAAAATCTTCGATTATGAAATTTCGCGCATCTCCAGCCACTGGTCCACTCCAGAAAAATTTGAGATATAAAGCAAATGAGTCCAAGAACGAATTTTGGGCTTGATGATAATTCGCTTTGAGTGACGAGATATTATCAGAGGATGCGATGAAATCGAAGTGTGGACGGCGGACAGCAAGGTGCACCAGAAGGTGGCAGACCAGAATGAAGAGAATGAGGGAGACGATGATAGCGCTCCGAGCCTTCAGGGGTAAATGTGGCTGGAAAGGGGAATACTCGGATATGCGTTCACAAAACGTAGGCTTAGGAGGCGGTTTTAAGAACGCTATGTAGTACTCGGGTGCGTCGGCTGCTGGAGATGACGGGGTAACGATGATGGCTGGCAAGGAAGACTTTTCCGTGGCCAGCGGAAGAGATAGATCTGCAAGAATATGATTAGTGTTACGACTCGAGTTATAAATTCACACGTACCCAGAGGCGCAGGAATCAGGTTGTAGTCAAGACGCTGCGGGAGACGGTGGATACGAGGAGCTGTATGATGCATTGAGTCTTCGCACGCGAGATTCAGGCGTTTAAATACTCACCCCGACGAGTCATGTTGAAAGTGGGAGCAGACTAAAAAGCAATGAAGTGAAATGCTTGTTCTTGGTCTAGGCGAATAGATTCTCAAGGTTTGAGAATCTTTAGAGGGAAACGACGAAAGGACTGTAGATTGAAAAGAGCGTGGGTGTTTTGGTCGAAAAGAAAAACAGCTGCGGTGGAACAGGATCTAGACGCTTGCAATTGCAAGTGGTGGTAAAGAAATAAAGGTATGACGATGACGAGGGAAAGTTCGTACGTAGTGAGGCTAGATAATCTGCTGACGTGATCTTGATTTACACGTGGTCTGGATCTGTCTAAGGGCTTGCAAAAGTGCAGTCATGTCGTTACTCGAGTCTCCTTCATTCGAGACAATCTCTTCAGAAATAAAGTCCACTACTCACCCGGGTGGAGGCTATGTTCTTGCACTAACATCGTTGGGAAATTACTATGTTTCTTCTGCTTCTGCTCCGTCAAATGCAATTCATCTTTTTGACAAGTCATCCTTGAAATGCGTCCAGACACTTAAAGGCCATCAAAACGCTACCACAGCCTTGCGAACCGTCAGAAGCATCGGGGGGTCTGACCGGCATACACTTCTATCTGCTGGTAAGGATGGGTGTGTGATTGCTTGGGATGAACGTTCTGGCGCTCCGACCATGCAAAGTATGTTTTTCATACTTTACCACTGGACCTTCGTGTTTGACAACTCAAGAGTATTATTGGTAACTAGTGACAACATCTGGGAGATCTAGTACCGTTTTGTCTTGTGATGCTTCTCATGATGGCTTGACTGTTGCTGCGGGAACGGACCTACAGAAGGAGGACGCATTTATACTCTACTGGTAGGTCCTACCATTATTTATAAGGCTATGAACTTCAATGCGATATCAAAGGGATCCTCGGAAATCAGCTGTACCTCTCCGTGTTCACGGCTCAACACATTCGGACGACATCACTGCAGTGCACTTTCTAAAAAATTGCCCGTCTCCAACATCTGGACAGATCTTGCTATCAGCTTCCACTGATGGCTTGGTTAGCACATCAAATTCTGCGGAAGATGATGAGGATGAAGCAGTTCTGAACGTTGGGAGTTGGGGTTGTAGCATCTCTCAAGCAGGATGGATCCGCAACTCGTCCACCAATCGCGTTTGGGCTGCAAGTGATATGGAAACATTCAGCTGCTGGTCAAATGAGGTATATTCCAATCACCCGTCAATCTACTTATTCCTCATGATGCCGCGCAAAGCTTGACATGTTGCAGAATTGTGACATTCGCCATCCCTCCGTTCATAGCCATGGGCGAACTTGGGTCACCGACTATTTGATAACATGTCACAATACAAAACGATCTGACAGTAACCTCGCTGTATTTGTTGGCTCGAACGAGTATGTGACATCGTGACCGTAATTCACGATTTAACACCTCTGCACAGGGGTGATGTGGCCCTTCTCTCGAGTTCGGATGTGACAGACTCATCTGTGCCATGGGCAATAAATTCGGTATGGGCCAAGGGTCACACTGGAGTGGTCCGTTCAGTCTTCTGGGATGAAAACGTACGTTTTCTTGGTGCGGGGATATCCAATGCTCATTTGTAACATAGCATGAAATTCTCGTCACGGGAGGCGAGGATTCAAAGATAAGTACATGGCGTTGCCCTATTCCCAGACAGCCTTCGGGGTTTGATGAAGGTGCGATGGATATGGACTCCGCTATCTTGAAAAGGGAACGTGATGACGAGATGGATATCAGCGAGAGTGAGCCAGTAAGAATGTTTCTATCAATGACCTCTCCACGTTTGCTCATTATGAACTACCTTACTAGGAAGGTAAAAAAGTAAAGCGGCAATCGTGAACATGAACTAGTGGCAGTACGGGAACTTGGATGTCATTGAAGCAGTGTCAATCAACCCTTATCCGATTATGGAAAACGGCAGTAACGATTATCAACGGCACATGTGTATGCGCTCACTGCTCCGAGTCGTATCTGCCCTCTGAAAAAATTTATGCGACTATTTTTCACACTGAGATGGCAGCATTTGCTTACATTATGCCGTGTGCCTGGTCAGGGTCCTGGAAGCATGTGCCAACAGTCAATCAATTTTTCGATCGGTCGCTGCAAGTATTGTACGCTTGCACAGCAAATGTTCCCGGCGTACCCTTCTCCGCTCACAATGCAGTTATGCTCGGTATGTTGAGCTTGGTTGAAAGCATTGTCCCGAGTTGCCGGTGACCTGCCTCGAGGACTCGGCACGAACAGTATTAGTCAAGATTTTCCTGCCGGCAATTTTGAACTTTTTAGAGCGAGAACTCCAGAACCCGCTACGTAATCGGGTCCGTTTTATCCATACTACATGGCATCCAACCGGATTGGGGCTGCGATCAAGCAGTGACCACATATGTTTGCCTCGCGGCTGAGCTCAGCCTTTGTTTTTCGCGTACCGAGTCTTAAAGCCGGCTCTGCTTCATATGTCATCCTACCGATATTTCCAGCTGTTTAATTCATGTTGGACACGACCTTGATTTCTCTGTCTGCTAGGCGAGCCTGTTGGTTATTGCGACTCGTTCCTTGAGCTGTTTACTGATGAACATATGTCAATCAGTGAACATTGGGAAACAATCACGAGCTGCAGCGCTGGGACTTCTCATTTATGAACACAGTAAGGAGTTTTTTCGATGTATTTTACTCGCTGACTCTCATTTCTGGTAGTCATCACTATCGAGGACGAGGTAAACTGTCAATCTGGTTCCAGCGACTGCAGCTATTAAGGTTCGGTTTGGCAGATTGATCTGATCTGGTTGAAGAAGAAAAGTTGGGTGACATGTCTCTATCATTTTGTGAGTTTGTATGCTAGAGAAGAATGTGTATTATGCTAATGCGCTCTCGAGAATCGCTGGCTTCCAGCGGTATGGCTCACATTCGACATGAGTGAGTAGGAACTATTGATCACTGCTAATTCTGTTGACCAGTATTCAAAGTACAACAAAACCCATATAATGCGATATCATCCAAAGTAATTCTTCGCACACCCTTCCACCGTCTTACGCTAACCATTCATCAAGACGTATGTTCGTGTTACTAAGACACCCATAAGGTTGACTTCCTCCTCTGGCCTAGTTGCGTCACCTACCTGATATGCAACAATACCATGTAAGTCGCGGGTCACTTTCTCTCGATGTCTTACTCATGATTCGACAGTGCACTCCTTATGACCATTTCCGTTCAAAGTAAGTACACAGCCCATGCACAACCATCACCATCGAACCTTTGTTTGTATCAGCAATACTACAGCTTAGAGTGAGTACAGCGGTTTCCTACGAAAAGTCGACAACTAACATCCTTCAAGGTGTGGGCAATTTATAATCGAAGTCGCAGGTTACTCTCTTGGATGATTGTCCTGAGTATAATCGAGCTCGCAGCGATGGCGCTCCTCATTGGCTTGACGATCGCTCGCGTGGAAAGTGAGTCTGGCTTTTCATTGTAGAATCGACTGAATGAACCGCTTACAGGATTTCCAGTAGTCTCTACTCCAGCGGGCTGTCTCTTTGATGGCCTTGCTCCACTCTCTGCGATATTTTGGACGCCAGCGCTGATCCTTGAACCTATCATTTGCATACTTGTCCTCAAGAAAGTTTTTCTGGACCGACAACAGCGCAGTGAACTTGCAACGTTTCTGGCCCGTGATAGGTTGGTAGTTGTTATCTTTGATGAGTTATGCTAACGACTACTCAAGTTTATTATACTTTCTCGTGTATGTCTGTCAGCTTCTACGTGGTTGTTACGGTGTACTTGATCATTTACCATCTATAGAATCTTTATAGAACTGATGGGATCAACGATTGTCTGGGCTCGGTATCCCTCCTATATCGACCTCTTCATGCCGTGGGTCTCTGTCTCCCTCTGTGTTACATTTCTAAAACAAATTGACAGTTGGTCTATCGCTTTACCATCCTTGCTCTGCAACCGTCTTCTACTCAACATGAGAGGGCGCTTTGCAAGGCCCGGGTCTGAGCCTGTGCACTCCTCATTGGTGATTGAGCTTGTAAACCTCCGAACCAGCGTGGATTCATCGAGAATGCCAGACGAAGAGTAAAAGATGGTGTGTTGTATTTGTATAACCCAGCATAAATTCAACTTGTATGATATATCTCTGTTTACGCGGGTCTTTGTTGGTGTAAAATTGTGGCTCAACACGGGCGCTGTGTGTTGTGAGTTTATTCTTTGTTTTCATCTGGATCGTGAAAACATTGTCAGCTTCGCCGAGTTCAATATCCAGATGTTGTCACGACTGGCAACCTCCTCAGACTTTGCTATGTTGGGCCAACCGCTTGCATTGCGGTGCTAGGGATCTAAGGCGTTTTTAGGTTCCATTCTGGTCCAGCCCGATATAATTTGCTCCGGATCATTATCTGCTCATTGACACTAATTTAATGCACAATTTTCAGCCGAACTAACTCGTTGCGGTGTACTAGTAGGCAAGGCGTCTCTCAGTTTCTATGAGGGGGTAATAGCTAGTGAGTTCCTTCATTAAAAATTTTAGATGAAGCCCTGAACTAGTCACATGGTCCAGCGCTGGCCGCCGCGATCAACGGCAGACACAATGGTTTTAGGCGGGACTTGGTGGCCAAGATCCGAGAGGAATTTTACCAGGTGCTGCAACGTTTGTCGGTCAGACATGCAGCCTGGAAAGTAGCAAGACTGGAATGTTTCCGAGCCTCGCACTGAGAATTTGAAAATGACAGACGCTGGACAACAAATACTTACGAACCCCTCGGTCACGTTGCCAGCTTCTTTGAACTTCTTTGTTTCGAGCTCTGTGACATGCAGAAGTCTTCCTTCGTTTTTACTGCTGCCATGTTTGGTGCCGTCGCAGATGAAGCTTCCTGTGAGCAACCGATAAAAACGATTGCAATCAGACGTTGATTTACCTGACATTCACTACATGCGAGAACAAAGCCATCATTTCATCTTATTTTTATTGGGAAGAGCTCAGATGTTCAGGTCGACACACCAGCTTCATTGAGAAGCGCATATCTTGGAATTCTCTCCAGTGGCGGCGGCCAAGCGCTGATTAATGATTAAACGAATTTCATATTCGAAATTCAAACTTTCCTCATAACGCGTCAGACATTGAATGTCTGCCCCGATACCTGTGTGTATACACAATGCTCTTGTCTTCTGGACTTTTTCAAGCTTGTTCCATCCTATTCGAGGTACTACCGACTGCTTTACTCCCTCCGGTGGTGGTCCAACCCGTTATGATATCGAGTCATCTCAAATGGGTTTATGATAGTGAGAACATCGGTGAATGATGTTGGTTTATCTCTCTTTCGATTCTCTACTAATGGCATCGGATGTTCAAGAGCACCTTTAGTATCACAGTACGTTAAATAACGTGGTCTCTTGAGGATCTACACTGATACTCCGAACTTCGTAGAGTGGATCTGCTACTATTCAATTTACATTTACCAGACGTTCTTCATGAACCGGGCCAGCTACGCCGAGGCGTACTGCAGAATAAACTGGGTAAGACTTCCCTCATGAGTCGTGCTCGATTTTAGTATCTGACTCAAACATGTAGGCTAACGTCGTTGAATGTGCCGCATTGAACTACCATTCCACACAGAATGTTCATGGAGGCAATTGCGTCCCTCCTGATCAGACCTGGTTTGTCCAGTGAGTGCTCGGCGTTACCAGCAGCTCGCCTGATCGGCTAATCAAAAAATTCCAGAGCGTAGACGAAACCCTGAAACTGAATAGTAAAGACCTGATTTACGGGTTTTACATTCACGCTTGTAATTTGATTCAGGTAGTTTATTCAGGTGGTCATTCGAGTTCTGTTGATGAGTGACGTACAGTAGTGCTCTTTCCTGGGATCCCAGCGGCTTTCACGTACCGTGATTTGTGTTAGGGTGATCTGAGACCGAAGACATAGTGTACAAGAAAGGCGATACTACATGTAAGTTGCCACTATATGGGAAATGGATAATTATGCAACAGACGACCGTGACGGACACAGCGGGGGTATGAGGGGGCGTGAATGTCCGTCGGCGCTGAAGCTGTCAGAAAAGGTCTTCAAGCGTCATCTGCTTGACAATGTCCTAAGGGTAAAAAGACTGAGCATCAGCAGTGAAGCGAGAGAAATGTCCCCAACCGTGTTTGACACCATCTGGGCAAACTCTTCGAAGCTAAGTTTTCCGTCACGATCTAGATCGCCTTCCATGATCGTCTTGTCAACTATCTGCTGCAGCTGTTGGTCCTGTTTCAAAGAATGATTACAACGAGTTCCAAAATCGTTGGGTAAGCGCAGACAGACCTTAAGATTGTTCCCAACCATCATTTTCAATACCAGAAACAGCTCTCCATTGGAGATGAAACCATCTCGATCCACATCATAAACTTTGAAAGCGACTTGATATCATGACGTCAGGCCAGGCTGATGAACCAAAATGGGAGACGCACATCGTAGCTTCTCTTCTCGCCCTCCTCGACTGCTAAATGCGCTCAATCCACCCACGAATTCTTGGAAATCCACGGTCCCTCCTCCACTGCGTAAAAATTAAATTATGAGTCGGTCACGGAAATTGGTGGACGCACTCTTCGTCAAAGATTGCGATCATCCTTGAGGCTAATGGGTTGGTAGCTATTTGTGGTATTTGCAGAAATTCTTCGCGATCTATGGAGCCTGAGCCATCACTGTATATGCAATGTGCATTATGAGATCGGTGGTAATGATAGTCGATTGGAGAAGTGATATAGACCTGTCTAGCTTCATAAAGCGTTTCTTCAATCTTTCCAGCTCAGCGGATGTGACTGTGCAGCACAGTCAAATGAGTATCGCAGAGCAGAAGTGGTTTGGAACACAGAACGCACAGTTGGACCGCTTCTGCATGTCCTCCATGAACTGTGACGCTGTTCATCGCGGGGTGAGTGGAAGATGAATGCGTCATGGGAAATCTGATAAACAAACGTGTTTGACCCATGGCTCCTAATTAAACTGGGCAATCTATGTGATTGTATAACAAGGATGGGATATATCAAGTCGGTTCGGTTAGATCTTGTGCTCGGTGATGAGAGGTAAGGGCAAGCTGTATTAATATGTAGTCGTGAGAAATTACGACAACTCTTTGTACGCCTTCTGTCATCATACCATAGTACTGGTCGCGACTAACGGCGAGCTGGAATTCGAGGGCAGTGAATGTTGCGACAATGGCGAGCCAGCATCACTCAGAAAGCTGTGAAGGATACACGGATACAACGGAGACAGGTTCAGTTTCGGGAAAATAACTTCACCCTTGCATCGGTCGTTCTACATAGAAGTTTCCGCTGGAATTGCAGATTACACCGCCTCAACAGGTCATCATCACAGCTCGATGCTACTGGGTATGCCAGTCGTACTCATACAACACTCTGCGCCAAGTCTGAGGCTACGCTCTCTGATGCGCAGCGTAGAACTATATACGCACTCTCCACTCCGGCTGGGAAAGCAGGCATAGCTGTCATTCGGATTTCTGGACCCGACGCTCTTGACGTCTGGCAACGAGTGACGCGCAGAAATAAGTCTGGAGCCGTACCGACACCATGGATGTTCCAGCGCAGATACGTCGTCGACCCAGAAACCGAAGAGAGACTCGATGACAGCTTGACTGTCTTCTTCAAGGGTCAGTTCTGATTATTTGCTATAGGTCGTGGGATATTTGGTTATGTGCATTAGGTCCAAAATCATTTACCACAGAAGACACTCTTGAGCTTCACATCCACTCTGGGCGCGCAGTGCTCTCTGCAGTGTTACGTGCACTTGCTAAACTACCATACTGTCGGCCCGCTGTCCCAGGCGAATTTACGAGACGTGCCTTCGAAGGTGGCCGACTTGATCTCACCCAAGTCGAGGGTCTGCGCGACTTGATAGATGCTGAAACAGAAGCTCAAAGAAGGATTGCTGTCAGCGGAGCTGAGGTAGGAATTATTACTGGTTTTAGGACTTACAACTTACTCCAGATGTTCCTAGGGGGCTGCGAGAGCGCGATATGCTGCGTTAAGGTCACAGATACTGGAATGTTTAGTTTTTGTTGAAGGTTTTATCGATTTTGGCGAGGACGTGGACGAACTTGGACAGGAAGCGATGATTAGAGAAGGCAAGTCCTCTACAGGCTCATTTGCAATTCCATCTCAAGTATATTAGCTCATAATCGTGCATTGAATATCATCAACAGCATTCGATCTCACCTGCATGACAACCGTCGCGGGGAGATTTTGCGCTCTGGAATAAAACTCGCGATATTTGGACCTCCGAATGCTGGCAAGAGTAGCTTGTTTAATTTCCTTGGCAAGTCCTTAAAGTCACGCTTTTTGAGATCTTAATTCGAATACTTGATTGTAGCTCAGCGTGATGCGGCTATTACATCACCCATTCCAGGAACTACGCGAGATGTGCTCACGCTCACTTTGGACATTGGAGGTTTTCCAGTCGTTCTGAGCGACACTGCTGGCCTGCGAGAAACATTGGACACTGTAGAGCAGGTAGGGGTGGGTCGTGCAGGTAACGCGTATGTGCAAGTCATAATACACTATACCCTTTTGTTAATGGTTCGCTCAGCGTCAAGGAGGCTGATCTGTCTCTTTGTGTTCTATCTCTTCCTGATGTTTTATCCTCTCGAGACAATGCCCTGGTTCGAATCCCGGATGAGGTCAAGAACCACTTGAAACCAGATACCCTTTTCTTGTTGAATAAATCTGATACTATCGCGAGCCTTCCTCTCAACCAGTCTCTCACTTTCACGGAGCATGGCAATAACTATAATAACAGCAAACAACCCCAGTTCTGGACAGCGAGTCTTCGCACATCAGAGGGTACCCAGTCGTTTCTAGATGGTCTCGCACAAGTTTTACGATCAAGGTACTTCACACAGATCAGATATCTACTGGCTGGATGGACATCCTGACTTTCCTTAATAGATACAGCGATGGTTTCGATTACACCAGCCCGCTCATCACGCATGCTCGCCATAGAGATATGCTTGAGCGAGCTGTCATGCACTTGGAAGAGTTCATCGCCTTCTGTAAGTCCATTTGTTATGCTTCACTGATGCACCCTACCAATTCTGCTCGACTTCACAGCTCCTTCGGAAGTAGACATCGCCGCAGAATCCCTACGTTATGCAGCTCGTGCGATTGGTTCTGTTTCTGGATTAGATGTCGGCGTTGAGGAAGTTCTGGGCGGAATATTCAGTTCGTTTTGCGTTGGAAAATGACTACTGACCTTGTATGATTCTACTGTCAATGCATGATGTTGTGCGACTCGTAGACCGTCCATCTTGATCAGTCTTAGCCAAGTAGTAAGCATGGCAGGGCAGAAATCTGTTGCTTGCTCAATAGTCTTTTTCCTCTTACCATGCCTTGGTTATTCACGTGGGTGGACATCTCAAGGTCTATCTTAATTAATCATAGCCAAGTGGCACCAGAACAGATTCCTCTCAGGTGGTGTGGTTCCAAAAATTCCAACCTATTATTACACCTTGCAGATCCTGGAATATCTGGGACATCTGAGACATCTGACCCATGGCTGACTTAGCATCATGTGTAGTTCCTACATACCTGATACAACATTGACATGTAAATGATAACCAAAATATGTAAGCATGCTCACTGTGTGCATTGCTGAAACCTTTGTGCTTGCTGTTGCACACAGCAAGCTCAATTATTCTATACTTTTTTTGTAATTCTTTCACTGTACCATTTAATTGAGTTTAATTTGGTTTACACAAGAGTAATTGGATGAGTCTGTTCCAAAGCAGACCTGTTTCTCCCTTTGGGTCTTCCCCTTGTTGTCTTGGGCCTTGCCCTTTGCCCCTGCAGCTCTTGCCCTGTGCAATTCAGCATGACAAACATGCCATTCACATTTTTATTGCCACCTCCTTTAGTGGAGATAGCAGTCTATGTCAAGTGAGACAAATTCAAAATGGCTCTCTGCCTTTTCTCACTTGAGTTTCTCATCTCGCTAGGTACACTGTTGTTATCCATTCAGTTGGTATATTCTCACTTGAGTTTCTCATCTCAATAGTGTAGCAGAATTTTGTGCATTTATAATTATTGAAACTATGTTTTCTCATGTCCAAGCATGCTGAATCTTCCTTTCCAAATGCCAAATCCTCCTGTGCATTAAGGGAATCCATTTCAACCAACAAGCCATTAGGGACTACCTCAACATTATCAACCATTTTAAATGGGATGATATTGAAAAACATCAGCAAACTACTTGTTTTGGATACAGGATTCTTACAGCATTACAACCAGCACAGAGCCACACAGTGTGCACAGCATTACAGTGTACAGACTCACAGAGTCACACAGACCTACACGGTAAGAAGTTAGTTGAACCTGTGGTTAAACTGGTCCTTTTGGCACTCAATACATATATAAATTTTGTGCGCCATTCCGTTTTGAATAAAGACTGAGTACTGAGTTAGGACAAGATCTGTCGGTTAAGTATAAACAAGAACAAAGTGCTAATGTTGAGTTGTCCAGCAGCCGCCGAGCGTAGGGCCTCAGGCTCATTGCGAGTTTAACCTGAGGTTCAAACTTGTTTGGTCTATTCGGCCATAAGCGATTTATCCTGGGAACAACGCCAAACAAGGGCCACACCTCATAGGTACTATCTGCGGAGGGTGTCCTTGAGTTATTCTTCGGCAGTCTCTCCATACACTCTCAGCACAATAATTGTTGGATCAACAGCCTCGTTCGGTCATTCCACTATGTCCAAAAACAGCATATCCTGCAAACAATGTCCCGCAAGATGTGGGGCAAAATAGCTAAGTTGAAGCAAAAATTTCACCAAGTCCTTGAACCTAACTGACTAATACTTAAGCTAATAGTAATATGTCATGTCAAGCTTGTCTTTCCCTCATCACGTCCTCCCACAGCCTTCAAGGTGATACCACCCTTACCTTTCCAGCAACTGCTGACTCTGTCTCATGTCCTCTATTGTAAGCTTTTCGTGTCTTTTTCCCTTTTGGCACTTATAAAAATGCCTTCTGCAACTCTTGTCACAGTACATCTCGGTCATTCTCCACGCACATCTGCTGCAATGTTTGCATATGTAAGTCTTCCTATTTCTTTCTATCTACTTTACTAATTTTATGTCATTCATCTTGAGTCACATTCCACATCCGCCCGTTGCACTGTCTTCCTTTTGGTACTGTCTAGCGCTGTCTTGCATTGTTATTTTCGTGCCTTCTCTTGCAACTTCTTGTACTGTCTGGGGTTGTTCTGCTATATCTTGCTGCTCATTCTGTCTACTTGTGTTGCTACCGCTGTTATTGTCTTACTGTAGTTTTAGTAACTATCCATTACATCTCAACATTGAATGAAGTTTTTTGTTTCATCGCTTGTGTGAATTTATTAAAGCCAGAACAAACAACCAGTACTACTCCAATGTCAGCATAAGGACCAATGCTACCCGGCATGCAGTACTATGCTACTCTTGGCCTGGAGACCAACACTATTGAATCCTATCAAGCTGATCTTCACAAGTGGAGGTTTGCTGAGGCAGATACATAGGCTCCTCTGTGACTTGAATCTATTCTGTAACCACTAAGCTTACCAGTACATAGCTCATTGATCCTCATGTTCTGGAACAGCCAGTAATCAGGTTGCAATCACCCTCGTCCCCTGGATAAAAATAATATTGCAACCGGCGGCTAAAGTTGAGGATGTCCTCAGGTTCAAACTACATTGCCCGTGGGACAAACACCGCGATAAACCGAACTTGAGTGTCACAACAAATGTTGCACTTCAGATTCAATAGTACTGAGGCGCACGGGTCCTTTTCACACTGCGGTTGAGTCTGAAATTATCCTATTTACAACTATTATAGGTTAACCCCAGGTGCATCCAACTGTCTTGCTGTGTACAGAGACCCACAGGAACTTTGCAGAGATCCACAGGAACTTGCAGAGCACCATTGACTTATTTTATTTTTAAATCACAAGTATCAAGTATTACTCAAATTACAGTAGTTGCTACATTAATAACACAAAGTGCGAAGTCTTATGACACTGAACGTAAGTCCAAATCACACCAAATTGATATGATACATTTTGCAATATAGGCTCAGAATATGATTGTATAGATGCTATTACAAAAAAATCTACAAAAACAAATCTTTCAATCCTCTGAGAGCACTTGAAAAAATTAGATATTAGCACTACATACACCTCATAAACAAATGAACAACATACTACCATGACCAGAAATCAAAACAGATTTTGAATGCCAAAGTGTTTGCTCTGAGCATGTAAAGCTGCTCCTTGTCATGACAGTGTGCATGCATCCTACATGCATTTCTGCATCAGCCAATTTTTTTTGCACTTTTCATTCATAGTCGCCAGTAACATATGCATATATTTAGCTGGTGAAGAAGGCGCTTGGCAAGGTATTGTTCAACATGTTGAACCTCCAGATCTGCTCTTGCCATCTCAAGTCAGTACATGGCTTGATGATTACAAACTAGACACATCTTCTGAAGGTGCATTGTCAGACTGTGAAAGCCTGTGTGAGCTCAAGGGAGATGATTTGGAGCACAATTTGAAGCAGCTCCAAGCAGAGGCTGACTCGGAAGCCCCCAGGTGGACAGCACCTGTTGATACATTGTTCAAGATAATCTCGAGGCCAAAGACAAATGTTGTTTGGAAGAAGGCAGAGCAAAATAGATCATTGGGACATAATGGACTATTAAGTCATACTCAACATCGGAGGGATAAGCTGGTCTGAGACCAAGCTGAACAACAAAAGAACATGAAGACATTGCATGTGTCAATTCAAATAGATCATGGATTATGCTCTGATATGTACCTGAGTAGAAACAATCCACAGATTGCATTTATGCAGCGGTAGTGTGCACCCAAAGACTCGAGCACCATGCAGTCCATACCCAATATTGAACAAAGTGCACATGAAACTATTTAGGATGTGGCTGCACCGTGGCAACCACACAACACAATCAATTTTACTGGATACCTTTCTGATGAATCTGAGGACCATTTTGACTTGGAAACTGATGGTGAACACAAAGAGGATGAATATGGAGTTGCAGGAAGTAGTCGAGGTGTAAGCAGCTGCTTGCCCACTGTTCCACCACTCAAGTGGCATAAGCTTGAGATCCCTTTCCGCATGGAGCATAAAATCAAAAAGGAAGGATGTGCAGATAAGAGGCGTGTGGCATTGGAGGTGATTGAAAGGCTGCTGAAGTCAAAAAAAAACGATGGTTAAGTTAGTGGTCCAGATGGTTTACAAGCAAAATGGACACGTACCATTCAAAGCATCAGAATGTGCTGCTGAAAGTCATGGGTTCGCAGCTGTCTGGGGTGGACATCAACTGTGCAGTCGGACCCATAACTGGGTGTCAAAACAGGAGCTCCCTCAATCATTGACTGGTCGCCATGCCAAGGTGTACTCATTGCTTGATGATTCAGTAGGAGCTGCAGAGCTTCGCACATATGTTCATTTGAACAAGTGGGCAGTCAATCCTGAAAAGCTGGCAGAATTTTCAAAGAACAAATTGGTGCCCTTGGAAGCAGAAAGATATCTTCATGTCATTGTCAATGATGAGATGCCTCGTGGATTGAAGCAGTACATGGAGCTGGAGTTTGTTTTCTCGAATTCACCTCAAAGTCGGACGTGGAATTTCACTCATCACTGTGCGCTGATGGTTGCATCGAGAAGGCTTCTGATACATGTCCCATTGAAAGGGTCTTTATTTTGGTGGCCATGACTGGCCTGATGTGATCTCTTATCACAAAGAACATTTCTTGCCAACAATGAAGGAATACAAGTGACAGCTGGTTCACTTTGTCATCGGAGACATTGAATCAGAGCTCAAGGACCCAAATTGCAATTTTGTGGAATGTTGGCTTGTTCTCTGTGCACATGATGAAATGACAGCACAATCAAATGATGCAAGTGATAAATACTGGGTGTTCAAAGATCAGTTCGAGTTGCAAAAGAAAGGGGTAGGCTGTGGCCTCCATTGTAGTGATGTGATCTGCTTCACAGTGGGACACCTGGTGGATGCAGGTAAATTGATGGAGTATGGAAAGAATCACAAGGGTTATTGGAATGGTGAGATGTTCATTAAACAGGTGTGGGCTTTTGTATCGCTAAATATTGATTTGAACTGAAATTTGATGTGATTCAGCTCAATGAAAAAATTATTCCAACATTTGAGAATATTCACAGACCAGGATATCAAGCATTATTCCTGATTGATGACTCACAGGGGCACTCTGCATATGCTGAAGATGCATTGCTCATTTCTCGCATGAACATCAATCTAGCAGGAAAGCAGGCTCACATGCGAAATGGATAGTTCATGTGTGATGGCATCCAGGTCAAACAAGATATGGTGTTTCATCCACACCACCCACAGTTCCCAAATGAACCCAAAGGAGTCAAGACCATCCTTGTTGAAAGAGGCCTCTATCAACCTCAGCTGTGTGGAAAATGTGCCTCCAAGTGTAATACTGATGCAATAGCTTGTTGCAACAAGCACATCCTCAAGCTCCAGCCTGATTTTTGGCAGCAAAAGTCCCACATCCAGGAATCCATTGAAAAAGCTGGGCATCTCTGCATTTTCCTGCCAAAGTTTCACTGTGGACTCAATTTTATCAAATATTTCTGGAGGAAAATCAAGAAATATCTCTGGGATAACTGTGACAGCACTTTTGAAACATTGAAACATAATATGCCCCTGGCAATGGAGTCTGTGCAGCTCAGTACAATCTGACTGTGGGAACATCACATGTACTGCTGGATGGAGGCATACCGGACAGGCCTGGAGATGAAAGATGCTCAATTTCTACAAAAGCATATAAAAATTAGATTTTGTTTGAAGGAGGTGGGAACCTTGCACAAAAGTAGTGGCCACTAAGTGATCCACACCATACAGCACTTGAATCAGCCCAGATCATGATGCTACAGTTGGAATGACAACCTTGTTTGAATCTCATCCAAGTCATGACTTTCGGTACTACCTCAAGATGAATTGGCCTTTAATGAAGACACAGTAATCTACAACAACATGGACATGGATGTAGACATAGACATGTATGAAGATGAGCATGCTGGTGTAGAGGCAGGTTATGAGGAAGAAGTTTATGACGGTGCAGCGAAGACATATGGCATTGGAATGACATTTATGAAGACTTTTGACTCTGATGAGTATGCTGCGGAGAGGATGGATAATCCCTACTTCCCTTTCGCTAGCAAACCAGACAGGGAGATGGCAGTATTTCTTCTTCAGTCAGAGCTCAGCATGACAGATATCGACAAATATCTTTATCTTGAATTTGTAAGTCTATCTGTATTCTACTGTAGCTGTGTCTGAACTTATGTTTTTAGACCGGAAAATTACCCCTCTTATTTTGCTCTTCAAGAGAGCTTCAAGGATATGCAGAAATGCTACCATCTCCTCCTCGATAGAAGTACCAAACTGTCCTCACCAAATTTCTGACAACAAAGACCCTTCATATCTTTTACTAGGATGCCATTGAGTGCTTACAGTCACTCCTTAGTCACCCCTTGTTAGTTGATAGCTTTGACTTCATTCCATGGAAAGTCTATGAGTCTGCTGAACATGTGGTTTGTATTTACTATGGTTTCATGACTGGTAACTGTGCTTGGGAAATTCAGGTACGTTTGCCTCTCAATTTACTGACTTAGTGTTGCTAATTAAGAATACAGGAACACCTCCCTGATGGTGCAACTCTGCTTGGCATAGTCCTGTCCTCAGACAAGACTAAGGTTAGCAATCTCTCTGGCAATCACTACGCTCATCCACTCCTTATCACTCTTGCAAATATCAACTCTGAGATACATGACAAAGGATCCCTGGAAGCATATGTATATCCCCCTCGCAAAGTTCATCTACTGAAGCAAGCTGCATGCCTGGGTGTCATGATGAGCGACCCAGCAGGGTTTAGTAGATATTGCTTCATGCCACTTGTCGCATATGTAGCTGATACACCAGAGGAGCTTACAATCATGTGCATTACTATGAATGCATTGCCTGTCATTCCTGATGCCCAAGCTTCTCCATCACCTGCACAAGATGTCCTGGGATCACAACCTCAGGTGGTGCATAAAAGTAGTTGGCGCGAAGGAGAAATTGACTTTTGTTTTGCATTACTTCAAATGTGCATTGGGTACTGCACTTTCAAGGAAGACATCTCTGATCTGAAGCAAACCTTGGGACAAGATCATCACAATGTCCAGCATTATATCATGGGTATTATTGCTGATGCTGCCCCTGTTGAATTCACAACTGCCATCCAGGCCCTTGTTGAATTCAGATATCTTGCTCAAGCTCCATGGTTCACAGATGGATCTCTTCGACTCTTCCATTGACACAAGCAGTCTATTATTGATGCCGGTGAAGGTTCAACGATACTGAGAGGAACAAATGATGCTCCTGACTGTATCTATAAATGTTGTGAGGTCGCGCGTTGCCTAGTCTGCCATACTTGAGACGAGAAGTGTGTTTGACCCTAAAGGGGAAGTGAGTGCAGCAAGGATCTAGAAGTAGGCGCTGAAGGCGCTACTGGTTGGCTGATGTGAAGCGCGGGAAAGTGCGCGCACATTGTAGCACTCGAGCTTGCGCTAGGCTCGTATTCAACTACATAATTCACGATTCATGTCTAATGCCCATTGCATGATAATCACTTCCCGTTCAAATCCGACACTTTGACATTGGACCCAACACTTTGACTAGCAGACCCGACGTTTCCCGCGCATCGGACCCGATATTTTCCTGTGCACTTGTCCTATCCGTGTCCTGTCCTGTCTTGCTAGCCCCACTAGGTGCGTAGTTCATTATTTCGCACATTACTCACGTCGTAGCCAGCGCTATTACATGTTTTCCCATAGTCCGCAGTGCCTCGTGTTTATTTACATGTACTTCGGATCCGAAATACTCCGCCGCTACTTTCGCCTACGGGTTCTGCATTTCTACGTACTTACATATATATTGGACTGACCTCGAGCATTATTCATCATCCAAGTAGTAGGGAGCCATTCCCCGACGCTTTGTGGTCAAACCCGATATTTCATAGTTCTTAGTTGACATTGCGAATATTACCGCTCTTTCTATCTGAAAATACCTGTCATTATTGATATTCCACATACCGCTCGCTTTCCCAACACTCCCTATCGCCATTCTCCGTAATCCGCTGAACCCGCTGAAGGTACAACAATTCTGATGGTGAGTCTGAACAATGTTGGGTCTTGCAGAACCTAGCTGCTATTCGACCCTAAAGGGTTTCTGGACCAGGCTCAAGGCTCAGAGGAGAGGAAATATCATGAAAACTTGCTGAGAACTCTGACTCATACTGGTAACTGGTGAAAAGATAACTTGCTTATGTAAGCTACAAAAGTGCCAACATAAGGTATTGTAAGGTAAAAACAGTCTCTACAAGCCCAGCCAGAAATGAATCCCTATACCACACCCGAAACCCGATAGTCCACTAACCCGAAAACATCGGACCTGACGCTTTGGCGTCGGACTCGTGATTATACCTTCAGACTTTGTTTCCCGCGCTCGGACTTTTGATCATTTGACATTCCACTATTCACAGACTAATACCAGATAGCTAACCCCTCGGGTCGAACGCACTTGTCTACAAGTATAGCAGACTAGGCCACGCAAGACCACAACATTTTTATATTGCTGATTACTTACTTCGTGTAGTATCCAGTGATAGTTGTCTCGTTACAATGTATATAGAGATATGAGATGATAGTGCTTCTTTCTAGGGAGTGATTCCAACTAAGCTCAGTTGTGTGGTATGAACATGGGGGTTGCTAAACTACTCTCTGGTATGTACTACTGGCGCTTATGTATGGCGCTGTAGGACACGAGCTGGCACTGGGCTCGTATCGAGCTATTTCACTGTACACGTCAAATACCCGTCACATGCTAATCACTTCCCGATGTTATCCGACGCTAACCCGCCAACCCGACGTTTAGGCTGCATCGGACCCGATGTTTTCCCGCGCACTTGTCCTATCCGTGTCCCGTTCCGTCTTGCTAGCCCCACTAGGTGTGTAGTTCATTATTTCGCACATTACTCACGTCGTAGCCAGCGCTATTACGAGCCCCTTCAGTGACAAATTCCGTATTATACGGGCCACCCGACCTACATAATATCCCGTATGAGACGGGCCAGCGGATTATGGGCCCATGTTGTGTATATTCTCGATGATGACAGATGGGCCGGGACACATATTATTTCCGATGGAGACGGGTGGGCCCATGTATGCCAATGATATATATATCCTTGATGTTGACGGATGGGCTGGGGGAATATGATCATTCATGGAGATGGGTGGGCCCATCAGGGTAATATGTAGAGTAGGATATTATAGACAGCTGGGCTGAAGAGAGATGTAAGGCAAATATTGTTATATAGACGGGCGGGCCGACGGGGGTGTATTACATATATGGGTGGGCCGAGGTAGGGGAATATTACATAGATGGGTGGGCTGACGCGGGGTGTATTACATATACAGGTGGGCCGACATAAAAAGTATTACATATACGGGTGGGCCGACGAAAGGGATATCAAATAGACGGGTGGGCCGAGGGTGTGATAAAATATTTATTACATAGACAGGTGGGCCGAGGTGGGGTATAATTATATAGACGGGTGGGCCAACATAGGATGTATTACATAGACGGGTGGGCCGACGTGGGGGATAATACATAGATGGGTGGGCTGATGTGGGGGAATTGTACATAGATGGGTACATATATGGGTGAGCCTAGATATGTATAAATGTCAAATTTTCAGTGCAAAACCCCAAACCGAGATTTACCAACCCCCGAACCCCGAAATTGTGGACTGCCGGGTCTCGGGTTTTGGGGTTCGGGGGTCCCGGAACTCAGAACTCGGTATGTGAGACAACAAAAATATATTTCAAACACGGGTAAGTCAATGTGTTTGTCAATCAACTTGATTGTAAATTATATTTTATTGATCTCCCCAAATTTCCCAAGTTCCGAGTTCCGAGCTCTGGGACCCCCGAACCCCGAAACCCGGCAGTCCACAATTTCGGGGTTCGGGAGTTGGTAAAATGTGTATGGATAGATGAAAGGTTGATTTAAACATTTTTGAAAGATGTCCCATATGAAATGTTAAGTCCCGAGTTTTGAACTCCGGGTTTCGGGACTCCGGGTTTCGGGACTTCGGGCTTCGGGACTCGGCACTCCAGAAACCCGGAAATCGAAACTTGGGACTTGACATTTCATATGGGATATCTTTCAAAAATGTTTAAATTAACCTTTCATCTATCCATACACATTTTACAA